CCTTCCCCTCCCTCCATCTCCCATCTCTTCGTTCCTGTCTCTCCCTCACTCTCCACTTTCCCTCTCTCTTCACTCCCTCCTCTCTATGCCTCTCATCTCTACTCCTCCCCCATCTTCCTCATCCCTCTATTCCCTCATTTCTCCCTTCCCCCCTCCCCCATCTCCCCATCCCTGCACTCCTCTATCACCCATCCCTCCATCCCCCTCCCCCCCTCCTCTCCCATCTCTACTCCCCATCTCTCCTACCTCCTTCCCCTCCCTCCATCCCCCATCTCTTCATTCCTGTCTTTCCATCACTCTCCACTTTCCCTCTCTCTTCACTCCCTCCTTCTCCCTGTGCCCCTCATCTTTCTTCTTCCCGCAGTCACCACCTCCCCAGTCTCTTCAGTCTCTCTTCCAATCTCTCTGGTCCTTACCTTCACAGGATCCCACAGCTAGATCTGAAAGGAGCTCACTCATTTTACAGATGGGGAAACTGAGGCCTAACAGACAGGGAAGTGACTTGCCCAAGGTCACACAAAGGCTCATAGAACTATAGATTTAGAGTTGAAAGGGACATCAGAGGCCATCTAGTTCAACTCTCTCATCTTACAGATGAGGAAACTGAGCCACTGACAGTTTAAATGACTTGCCCAAGGTCCCACAGGTAACAAGTGTCAGAGGTGGGATTTGAATCTGGGTCTCCTGACTCCGGAGCAGTACCAAGCTGCTTCCTTAGCACATGGAGCTTGCCTCTATGTCCCCAACCACCAACACAGCATAGTGCTGAATAGTGGAGCTCAATAAGTGCTTGTTGAGTTGAAGACAGGAATGCTTTATTTACTTACTTCCTTATTTATTTTTTGGTCCAGGCCTATGATTTCATCAGCGGAAGGGGGTCTCCATAAGGACCCTTCCTTTACCGGTGCAGGTCAGCATGTGCTCTACAGTTGTCTAGAGCAGAGGTAGCAAACTTGGAGCCAGCAGCACTCCCCAGAATAAATAAAAATACAATAGGACGTGGATCATGTGAATACGTGGTTTTCTAAGTCAGTATGTGGCCCTTAGGAGTCCTTATGTAGGGTTTAGTGGCCTCCATCTCTGTTTGAGTTTGACACCAGCATGGTGGCACAGTGGATAGAGCACTGGGCTTGGGATCAGCAAGACTCCTCTTCTTGAGTTCAAATCTGACCTCAGATACTAGCTCTATGAACTGGGCAAGTCATTTAACCCTGTTTGCCTTAGTTTCCTCGTCTGCCTAATGAGTTGGAGAAGGAAATGGCGAAGCACTCCAGTATCTTTGCTAAGAAAACCCAAGTGGAGTCATAAAGAGTCAGACATAACTGAAACAATTCAACGACAACACAGCTGGCCTAGAGAACGGAAAGGTTAAGTCACCTGCCCCAGATCCCATAGAGCTTGTATGAATGAATGAATGAACGAACGAATGAATGAATGAGTGAACAAATGAATGAAGCATTTATTAAGTAGCACATGCAAAGCACTCAACTAAGCACTAGGGGTAGGTACAGAAAAGTAAGACTGTCTCTGCTCACATTCTAATGGAGGTAGATAATGGACCTGACTTGAACTTGAGTACAAATCCTGCCACTGATACATACTTTGTGGCCCGAGGTATCTTACTTAACCTTCTGTTGTTCCAAGCAACTGTGGAAAATTAAATTGGAGAGCATATGCTAATCTGCATTAGTGGGGATTTCCTCATAGGGATCTCCCTGTACCAATGGAAGGATCTTCGCCCTCTCCCCACTCCAGTGTGCCAGGCACTAAAGACAAAATGAAACGGTTCCTGCCTTCAGGGAGTTTACCTCCTATTGGGTGGGATCAGTGAGTACATAGAAAATTAGGTATCGGGATATATCCAGTGCATGTATTTTTGGGTAAGCCACTAGTACTTGGGGCATTAGTTAGTCAGCAAGCATTTATTAAGTGCCTTCTATTTGCCTGGCACTCTGCACAGCGCTAGGCATGCAAAGAAAGGCAAAAACCCAGGCCCTGCCCTCAAGGAGCTCAGAGTCTAATGGGAGAGACAACATGTTAACGTTTTGATCATGCACAATCGAGCTGGGGACACAGTGAGTTGGAGACAATCACCAGAGGAGCAGTAGCTCCGAGGGGGTTTGGGAAGGATTCCCACAGAAGGTGGGGTTTTTCCTGGGAATTGAAGGGAGGCAGGAGAGGGAGATGAGGAGAGAGCATTCCAGGCCCAGGGGATAGACATCACTAGTGCGCAGAGCTGAGAGGTGTGAGTGTCTTGTTCAGGGAACAGAACCAAGGATCACAGAGTGTGTTTAGGGGGTAACGTGAGATGTCCGAAGTCTGGGAAGCTTAGGCGGGTGTAGGTTATGAAGGGCTTTCTGTAGGAGTGGTACTTGGGCTGAACTTTGAAGGAATCTTGGGATTCAGAGGGGAGGATGAGAATGCTTTCTAGGCCTGAAAGTCTGTAGAGGCACAGAGATAGGAGAAGTATGTTGTAAATGGGGAACATTAAGACCGATGTGGTGCAGTGTAGAGTTGTGAAGGAAAGTTCATGTGTACTAAACCTGGAAATATAGCCTGGAGACTGTGAAGGGGTTGTATTTCATCCCAAAGTCAAGTGGGAGCCATTGCAGTTTCTTGAGCAGGGGACTGACCTGATCAGACCTAGAAGATTAGAAGGCCATTGTAGTAGCAGTGAGAGGTGATGAGGACCTGAGTTAGGGTGGTAGCTGTGTCAGAGAAGAGGACCAATGATACATGAGACATTGTAGTAATTGACAAGATACAAGAGCTGATTGGATACAAAGAAGAGAATCATTGATGAGTCTGAAGTTACAGATCTGGATGACTGGAAGGATGGGGGTGCTTTCATCAGAAATAGAGAAGTTAGGGAGAGGGAAAGGCTTGGGAGGAAAGATAATGAGTTCAAACAGGTTGAGTTTGAGATGCCTCCAAGACTTCCAGCAAGAGCTGTCCAATAGGCAATGGAGATGAATGTTTGGAGCTCGGGAGGGAGGCAGGCAGGCGCTGGGCATATAGCTCTGGACGTCATCGGCTTAAAGCTGATGAGATTACAGAGAGAGGGAAGGTGTGAGAGAAAAGAGAGGGCAAAGTAATACCTGCCTTCCCTACCATACAGAGTTAAGGTGAGGATCCAATGAGGGGAAAGACCTGGAAAACTGCAGTACACCATATGGTGTTTGAACTTCAGACCTTTATCAGTTGAATTGGTAGTTGTCATCATCATTTTTCTTGATTTTAAGCAAATATTACCAATACGACCTCCTGCTATTACATTACATTTACATATTTGCAAGGATTTAAGAACAATTACTTTATTAAGGAAGAATCTGTAGATTATATTATTAGCCTGACCTTTTTTTTTTTAAACAAAAAGCTTTTAGAAGTATTCATGCTTGGCGCCCCTTACCACAGTGTCATAAGCAAGTGATCAATGTCATTTACTTTGTAAACTACAAAGTTTCTTATTTCTGGTTGAAGTTGATGTGCTGACTTTAGAAAATGTTAGCATGCCTTAAGGATTCAGATGATCATTTTGTCTTTAATGATATTTATGAGGATTTCATTGTAAACCATTTAGTCACAGTTGAAGTTTGCTTATTGTGATCATAACTTGTTTTAAAAGCCTCTGGCTTTTGTTTTCCTAGGTAGGGGTGACCTCTCAGAAGACCATGAAGCTGCTCCCAGCATCTGGATGCAGAGCGACACAGAAGGTGCTAATTCATTCCCCGTGCATAGCAGTCTATGCTCATGTGTTTCTCTCTTGAATTTGACTTAATTGTGAGAAATTGAATGGGAAAGGGAAATTCAGTTTTTGGAAAATTGTGTTTTTAAAATACTTTCTTTCCCTTATATGATAAGGTTAGTATTTTTAAAGGTGCTTTAAAATTGAGCATTATTTCTTGAATTGATTTTCCCCTATCAGAATGCCCAGAGACATAATGTATAAGGAAACAAATACTTTCTTATATACAGCATTCAAATGAATGTGCTTGTATGGGGAGTCTGAAGACTTCAATACTTTAGTATATTTGGGATCTCATCGATGTGGGCATTTCTTCCGTCATTGCGGATCTTAATCCCGTTCATGCTTCTCATCCCTGGTGGTTCTTGTCCATGTCTTTCGGTACATTCTGCACCAAGGATCTGCCTACTGTGCTAGATTCTGTTCTTAAGGCAGTGGCACACCTAGCAGATAGGACCCCCAGAACAGATTATAAAAATTCCCTCCTCTTCATGACAAAATTATTTTCAGCAATAATCATGAAACAACTAATGATATTGGCCAGAGAAGAAATGCAGACAACAAAAATTGTCTTTTGTTGTGTGGCCCTGGGCAAGTCACTTAACCCCATTGCCTAATCAAAAAAAAAATTGTTTTTTGTAGAACTTTGTATACAATCGTATGATAAAAATGCTTTTAATTAAAAAATAAATATTATAGTATTAACGAGAAAAAAGGATGAGAACTTTTTAATTACATTTTTTTAAAGGGAAAAATCTTATACCGCCATGTTGGTCTGGCACAGTAATGATTATAAACATTATAATTTGTTTTTGAGCCTTCACTTCTGCAGATTTGTCAATGACTTCCTCAAAATTTATCCGTATTCATTTTCAGCAGACAGTCGAGCCAAATTTGATATTCTGTTTTCACTTATGGTTGATCAAAGAATACTTTTTGTTAATTTAAATTTCAAAATGTTTCTTTCACATGAAGCAACAGATATACACATAGTTAGAAAAGGTCTTAAAGATAAGGATAAGTTGGTGAAGACATTTGTAAAAATCCTGTTTCGCAATAAATTTAATAAATCTAAGTTACAGCAATTCACAGTAAATTTAATAAAGCGGAAATGTCTGCAAAAGACCAATTATACCTGCTCAATTATGCCACCGATATCGTTTTATTTTCTTGATTTGTTCTTCAGTTTTAAAATGCCAACAATTACAAACAAGAATAAATTTCAATTTTAAAGCTATCTTTCAAATTCAGTAAAGTATTTCGTGTAGGAACTAAAATTTGCCTGTACCAAACAAAGATGTTGTGCCTTGCAGTTCCCACATTGGCTCGCTCTTTCAAATACAATGGCAAACAGAAGTAACTCAGGTTCTTTTTGTTGTCTGTTGTTGTCACAATCACTGTGCTATCTGTCATTGCTTATTTCGAATGTACTATTTAGATGCAGGAGTATGGAATCACAGGGGTTGGAGACACTGATCTGTTACAAACTGAGGTCCTTGTGTAGTGGGGGCCTTCTCCAGATTAACTTCCTGGAAGAATATGATGTTTATTGTTTTAAAATTCTCTACAGGCCATGCAGCCCCTGGGAGGAGCGCTCACCCTTTGGCCTGGGTGCTCCAGATCCACCAGGGCTTCTTACATTTTGTGGATATGGGTGGGGCACTGGCCCTCCGTGACTCACCCCTTGCTGTCGCCCCATGATGGGCCCACCTCCTTGTCTGAGTGTGCATGCTTGATGACACCCTTTCCACCACTTTTTGGGTGTTGACTGTAACTGGGCATGGACTGGACTGTAACTCTTTTATTGAACTTTGGGTCACTTGTAACATCCGCAGAGATTATCTGTCCCAAGATTCATCACCAGGAGCCCACTTGTCTTAGGAAGATGATTTTTGCATGAGGGAGTAGTCTGGGTTTCTTAAAAACTGTGCAGTTTCCCAAATGTCATGTAGCTCACTCCCTTCCTCCAGTTCAATCCTGGAGCCACCTCATCGTTCACCATTGTGCCTGAAATCAACCAAGCAGCAAGCGTTGACTCAGCACATCCGTAGTGCCAGGCACTGTGCTTAGGAGCTGGGAATACGAATCTGGAGAATGAAACAGTCCTACGACCCTCAAAAAGCTTACATTCTAACAGGAAACATAATGTGTACATAGAGAGGTATCAACTCAATACATATAAAGAGAGTAAGTACAGGGCAATTGGGAAGGAGGGCACCACCAGCTGGGGAGATGAGGAAAGGCTTCCTGTAACCACCGAGAGACTCAGTGGGCTGCACATTTAGCTGTAGGTCATAGTGTGGGAACAGAAACACACATTTGAAATTCATCAATTCAGACTCAACAAACAAAGTCTAAGTTCAAGGCACTGCTCTTCAGAGCCTTGTATTTAGTATTCCCTGTAGCACTGTCTCTGGGAGTTCACAAAGAAAACAAAAGCACGTAATATGGTACAAAGAAACTGCCTCCTTCAATCATTGATCACATTTTCATTAAGGGTAAAAGAACATCTCTCCAACATGATCTTTGTATTTGATGAACAAGGTGGATTATTTTTATGTAAACGTGAATGCAGTGATTTCTACAGAATGACTGTTCATTAGTACAGGAGCAGGATTTTTAAGCAACTGCAAAATGATGATAATATGCCAAGCCAACAGGATTTACATAGGAAGAAATCGTCAGGCATTTTGGTGATGGAGGCATCCTTTTTTAGCCCTCTAGGGAAGAGCACTTAGTTTCGTTAGACAGCGTGAGTGTAAATCTTGACTCTGCTGCTTTGGTCAAATTGCTTTATCTCTCTGAGACTCAGTTTTCTCATCCATAAAAGGAAGGTCTTAGACCAAAATAGTTAGAAGTCACTTCTATCTATAAATATGTGATCCTATGATATCACTTAGTAAAGAAGTGAATCAAATTTAGCACCAACCAAAATGCCATACTTCATCAGGGACAAAATTTCAGCATTATATATTATATCTTTTTGACTCAGCACAAAACATTGCTTAAACCATTACAGACAGGGGTGCCTCTTTTGTTATTAAAGAGTGTCAGGAGAAGATACAACATAGCCATCTGGGGTAATCCTTTATGAGGGATAATCTCTGGAAATTCTTACACGTGTTTAGATGTTTAATCTGCCCTGCTGCAATTTAAGACAATCTCCCCTTGTTCTCATTTGGAGAACATGTAATCACATGCTTCCTTGCAATACATATCCATAACCTTTCTTCCTATGTCCAATTATATAATCCTTTGGGTTTTTGTGTTTGTTTTTTCTGGCTCCTCCAGTCTCTAAAATCCAAAGTGATAATTTATGTAGCGAGTATAGAACCTTGCACAGAATAGATACCAAATAGATATTTGTTGAATAATAAAGTACAGAAATGTTTTTGTGCATGAGGAACCAAATGTAAAAATAGTGACTATTTTGTTCAATTTGTCACAGGTGGTTGTTGGAGATCACGATGGGGTGGCTACGTGTTTTGGCATCAAAAAAGGGGAGGCTGTGGTAAGTGGAGCACTTTGGAATGTGCTTTAGAAAGAGAAATGCTCTCCTTACATTCTCTTACATTCACTTAAGCTTAAAAAGTCCTAAAATGCATATCTTGATGATTGACACAATATTTTTAAAAATTAAAATGAAAATCTGTTTCAGACACAAATACTTACACTGAATAGGGTCACAGCAGATAGATTGGAATGCATTTGCTTGATAAATGACTTAGGAAAAGTCATTGCCACTCATAGTTGGGAATAAAATGTATATATTTCCTTGTCCCATAGACCTAAACTTAGAAGTACCTTCAATTAGCATTAGAGATATTTTGAATTGGAGAAAAATAACAATGGAGACTTAGCTGTAGGGCAAAATGAGAAATTAAATTAATAGATATTATTAAATGTCCCATGTGTGCCTAGCATCGTACTAAGCATTGTGGTAGATACAAAAGAAAGAAGACATAATTCCAGGAAATTACATTCTGGTTGTGTATGTGTGAAAAAACCTGAAAACAACATAAGACAGAATACATTTGAATGTTACAGGTAAAAGCTCTAGGGCTTCAGAAAAGACTTCATTGGCTTCTTGGTCTCATGTGCCTAATCTGTTCCATTTATCAACTTTTCTCTTTTTTTCTCTTTTGTTTTAAACAAGTATCAGATAGGTTTTATGGTTACTGCTTTGTAGTATAGTTTAAGAACTGGTACTGCTAGGCCCCGTTCCTTCCCACTTTTTTTTTTCATTATTTCCTATGAAGTTCTTAACCTTTTATTCTTCCAGATTGTTATTTTTTATAGGTCTGTAAAATAATATTTTGGTAATTTAATTAGTATGGCATTGAATAAATAAACTAATTTGAGGAATCGTGTCATTTTTATTATATTGGCACAACCCAACCTGTGTCTGTTTTTATGTTTGCCTTGTCTGATCTCATGATGTCCATCTCTGCTTTTTTTAATTCACTGGAAGCACAATAAATTCTGCTGTAATCCCTCATTTTAAATCTTTATGGATTTTCGTTTTTAAAGTATGCTTCCTATAAGTACCATATTGTTGGACTCTGCTTTCGAATCCATTTTTCTACCCTTTTATATTATATGGGTGAGTTCATACCATCCCCATTCACTGTTATAGTTGCTAATGATATTTGTCCCTCCATCATGTCCTCTCATACTCCTCTCTTCCCATTTCCCTCTATATAAAGTAGAAGAAGATGGTAAAACAAGAGAAATATGATCAGCCTTAGTAATGGGTAATTGAAGTAACTTGATCCCTTTATTTTTGCCACTTATCTTCTCCGAGTCCTAATCCTTATATTTTCCTTCTCTCCTTTTGATCCCTACTTCTGATCTGTCATCCAAAATTAAAATTTGTTTTGCTTGTGAATATTCCCTCCTTGACTCTGCCCTCCTCTCTCTTCTCTTTGTCCCTGCCTGTCTCCCTGTTGAATTTAATATATTTCTTTACCAAATTGTATGTGTGTTCAGCCTGCCCTTGTCTGGTTCAAATATGAGCAAAGCTCCTGAGCTGCCTTTCCCACCCGCCCTCTCTTCTGTGTACAAACTCATACTCTTCTTATGTGCCACATTTAGGAGAAATCAGAAGTCCTTTCCCCTTCTTCCTCATCTTTTCTTCAATATATTCCTTTTCCCCCCTCCCTTTTCTTTCCCCTCTTCCTGCATAGTATAAAACAGATTCCCAGGCCCTTGTCTTTGCCTTTCTTTTTTTTCTTTCCGTGGCCATAGAGATAGGGATTTTCAAGGGCCAGTTGTCTCTCTTCCCCTTATTAGAGTAAGTCTTTGTGCATCATTTCGCTTTTTCCAGTTGTTCAAACATATTTATCTTTCTAGGTTTCTAATTTCTCCTTTGTTTGCATGTCACAGATTCGACGTAATTCTGGTCTTTTCGTCAGGAATGCCTGAAATTCCTCTGTTCCATTAAAGTCTTATTTTTTTTAATCTTGTAGGATTATACTTGTTTTTAGAGAAGAGAAGGGCAAAGGAATAGGCATTTCTATAATGCCTACTCTGTGCCAGGTACTGTGCTAAGCGCTTTTTATAAATATTGTCTCATTTGACCCTCATATCAGGTCTGCAGGGTAGGTGCTAGCGACAGTGAAATGACTTGCCCAGAGTCACACAGCTAGTAAGTGTCTGAGGCTGCATTTGAACTCGGGTCTTCCTTACCCCAGGCCTAGCTCTCTTTGCACTGCTCCACCAGCTGCCTCCTGTTCCTCCTTTTTTTTTTTCTTTGACCTGGAAGCTTGTGAATTTTGGCTATGACCTTTCTGGGAATTTTCAATTTGAGGTTTCTTTTAGGAGGCGGATTCTTTCTGTTTTCACTTTGCTCTCTGATTCGGATAGATCTGGGCAGCTTTCTTCTATGATTTCTTGCAATATGGTATCTAGGTCTTTGGTTTTGTTATGGTCTTCAGGTAGTCTAGTGATTGTTAGATGCTCTCTTCTTGATCCATTTTCCACGTCTGTTGTTTTTGATAGTTGGTATCTTAAATTTTCTTCTATTTTTTCAGTGTTGGGATTTTGTTGTAATATAGCTTGACGTCCCATGGAGGCACTGAGTTCTGTTAGCTCCATTTTATTTTGGGGGAAGTTTACTACTTGGGGAAGGTTTTTTTTTCTTTTCTTAACTTTTACAAGGGGATATTGCTTCAAAGCTAAAGGAAGAACAGAAGTACAGACCTCCCCTCCCCCAAACAACTGGGGCCCATGGTCCCCTCAGACCATTTCAGTCTGAGGAAGCAGGTTCAGAGTTAATACAGTTTCTACCTAGAATTTGCCCCCCCCCCCCACCAAGGTCACTTCCAGGTGAGCACATGTAACTGTGACTGCTGGGCTGGGCCACCTGGGCTGCTCAGGATCTGCTTCTTACTGTTTGGCTTTGGGCAGATCTTGCCATGGACTCAGCTTCTGGGGACCCACTGGCCCTGCCTCTCGCGTCCATCTTCACTCTCGTCACCCCGAACAGGAAAGCGCAAACCCAAGGATGCAGAGAGACCTGGACTGATGGGCCGTGTTGGCCAGCCCCACGTTGGGAGGGCAGCAGGCCTTGCACCCACCCCCAGAGCTTGTGGAGGGCTCTCTTCTCACCTGGAACCAGGAGGGGACGTGGAGGAGCCTGAGTAAATTTGGATAAGACTCTTCTCTAGTCTAGCTGTTTATTCTCTTTGCAGTTTTTCTGTCAAGGATTCTCATTTTATTTATAATTTCATTTTTTTCTTGCTTCATTTCTTCCAGCCTCTTCCTTGTAACAAAGTAATTCTATTTTCTGAGCCTCTGTTTGTCCTCATCGTGGAGTCATTCCCCTCTTCTGAGTTCCACTCATGGGCTTCTCTTAACCAATCATATTTCTTCATTGTACTTGGTGTTGTTTTCTGTTTGCTCACATCTGCAGCCTTGGTTTTCTGGATTGGAATTTGGTGTTCCAGCCAGACTACTGTCTCCTGTACTCTTGGAGGGGGTGGACAGGCCCTGCAATGTTCTGTCCCCTCTGCAGTCCAGATGCTGCTGCTGCAGTTTTGATTCTGACGGCTAGGACTAGACTCTGCCCTCTGCCAGACTCCCTGCCTCATGGCTCCATCTCCTGGTGGCCTGGTGTGGGTTTGGGCCCCCCCCCCCCCCCGCCATGCTCATGCTCGCCCTGCAAGGCTGACATCAGGTATCTGGATCCCCTGCCAGGTGCTACCCTGGTCCTGTCTCCGGCTCTGGCCCTGGGGTGGGCTGCTGTGGCGGAGGCCTCTTGGGAGGTCCAGGGCATGTGTGTGCTCCCCACCTCTGCCTCCTTGTGAAGTGGCCTCTTGGGGTACTTCTGTCTCTGCTGCTTCAGCAGGGCAGTGGCTGGGCTCCTCCTGGTTTCAGGTCCCAGTTCCTAGTGCTGGCTTCCTCCTGCCCTGGCTTATCTCCACTCAAAATATACCTAGGCTTTTGACCTGCTTCTTGTGTGGTCCTGGGATGCTGAGAGTGCTTACTGAAATTTCTCTTCAGTTTTCTTTATCTCTGTTACTTCTGGTACACTTTTAGATCTTTGCTGGGATGTTGTGGGAGAGCTGGGCCTCTCTCGGATCTTTGCTATTGACATCTTGACCAGAAGTGGACTGGATGGTCTTTAACATTCCTTCAGTCCTAAAGTTAAGGAAGGCTTCCGGGAGAGGTGGCATTGATTTGGAGTGTAGAATTTAGAACAGAGGAAGGGGAACCTTGGGGGTGAAAGGAACAGGAGCAAAAGTCTGACTGAGGTGTGAGGGATCATGTGGTAAAAAGTAAGGAGAGCTGGGTAGGTGAGGTGAGGTCAGTTGAGGAAGGGTCTTTGGAGGCTGAGGGTGTTGTACTTACCCTGATAGATGGTTGGAGGATGCCGTCATTGGTTGTTGTCCTTCATTCTGGAAGAGGACCACAATGACAGCACTACGTTGGGGTCAGACCACGGTGTGTCCAGCAGTGGCTGACCAGACTGATCTGAGCTCAGAAGGCTCTAGCACAGGTCGGGCACAAGTAGTCTGTGTGAACATTTGGAGTGGAGATGGCTCTAAATAGGCACGTCTCATGTTTATTTTGAGCTTTTGTTGCTTTGCTTAGAGAGCACAGCACCTTCTTTGATGTGGGCACATGGGAGGCAACCATTCGAGGCTTTTAAGTAAAGGAGTGACATAAATGTTTTAGGAAAGTTAATCTAGCAGTCATTGTTGTACTGGATAAATTGGAAGGAAGGCTGTATGCAAGGACACGAGTGACATACAGTCATTTCAGTCATAAGGTAGAAAGGGAAAGAGTACGTTGGGATTCTTCATCTGTGAATAGCTATGGCGGAGGGTGAGTGATGGGGTTCTGGGTGTTTTCCTTTTTTCTTAGCTGCACTGCCTGCCCTACGTTTGTTCCCTAAAACCCTCGCTCGATTTCTGCCATTCCCTCAAGCTCTCATCCTGTGTCTCTCCTCCCTTTCTGAGACAAACTCCTAGAAGTTGTATCCACCCTCAGTCTCCACTTTTCATTTCCCTCACTTCTGTTTCCTTTGCAGTTTGGCTTCCGACCTCATCACTCAACGGAAGTGGCTTTCTCCGAAGTGAGCTTTTCCTCTCCAAATCTAATGGCCTTTCCTCAGTCCTCATTCTTTCTAACTTCTCTGCCAAGTTTGACACAGTTTCTCTCTGGGTTTTCTGACCCTGCTGTCTACAGTTTCTCCTCCTATCACTGTGACTGCTTCTCGGCCCCCTTTGCTAGTTCCTTGTTCCTATCGTGGCCCTGCCTGTGAGTGTACCCTACTGTGGCCCCTCTTCTGTTCTCTCACTTGGTTACCGCTTTAGCTCCCATGAGCCGAATATGCAAATGGGACCCAAATCTGTATATCAGGCCCTAGTCACTCTCTTGAGTTCTAATCATGCCTTTCCAATAGCCCATTACATAGGCTGAGATGCCTTTGGGACATCTGCTGGGAAATCCATGCAAAGGCTTTTGAATATCCTAAAGGCATCTCAGATTAAGCATGTTCCAAGTTGAATCCATGGTCTCTCCTTCCAAAAGGGAGGGAGAAGCCTCCCTTCTGAACTCTCCTGTTTCTAAGCTGTCCTTTCATGACCAGGTTCACGACTTGGCATCATCTTTGACACCTCCCTCTCCCTCACCCCATATATCCACTCAGATGCCTACTCTTGTCAGGTCGTCTTCCACAGTGTCTTATCCCTACTCTGTTCACTCTCACCTAGACAGGAGCTTCTTCACTGGTCTCTGCCTCCAGCCTCTCTTCCACAGTCCATTCTTCAAAGAGCTGCCAAAGTGATCTTTCTGAAGTCCAAGTGGGACTGTCGCTCTCCTGCTCCCTGAACTCCAACCGCCAGCTCCCTGTTGCCTCTAGCATCAAATCTGAGCTGCTCTGCTTAGCTTGTCAAACTTTTCTCCTACCTTTCTACCCTGCCATACACTACTTCCCTTCCGGAACTCGTATCTTTGCTGTTCCCAAGAACTGATGCACCATTGCCCATTTCTGCCTTTGTACTGGTGTCTCCCACGTCGGCAATTCCAGCCTCATCTCGTAGGATCCCTTGTGCCCTTCATAGTTCTGTTCATGTGATTCCTTCTTTAGGAGCCCTTTCTTCACCCCGCTGCAACTCTTAGGCCAATTGGAGGTCTCCCCCAATTTATCTTGTATTTACTTTTCCTATATTGTGGACATATTTATACATGTCCATGTTGTCTCTCCCGTAGCATGGATACTTTCTGAAGTGTTTCGTCTGTCTTTGCATCCCCAGTACCTCGTACAGTGCCTGGCACATAGTAGGTGCTTACCAAATGCTTGTTGACGAATGACCAACCACAATTCTAGAGGGCCGCCTCATGTCCTGTTGTGCTGTGGAGTCACTGATCTTTGGTCAAATCTAATTTTCAAAGAGTCTGTTACTTGAGTAAAGTTTTGTACCTCCTGTTTGAAGCTCTTTTATTCTCCTTCCTGGGTTGTTTTTTCTCTCCAGAGTTCTTACTTCCTTTCATATTCTTTCCTTTAGAGCTCTCATAATTTTTAGAGCTCTTTCATAATCTTCAAATTTTCACTCTTATTTCATTTTCCCCCTGAATTCCAGGAGAGCTTGAGGCAAATCTGTGATTTTCTGTGTGGCCTTGTTGATTATCTGGAGTTATTCTTTTTTTGGAGGGTCTGTATCTTAAGCATGGCTGGTTCTGTACCTCTTATTATCAGCATTTTCTTGCATTTATGCATTTTCCAGTGACACTTCCTGGATCGAGACCCTGTGTTGGAACTAGGCTCCATACAATTCTGTAAGGAAATGTGGAGTCTTTTTCTATCATTGATCTCTGGTTTATGAGGTCTGGATAATGAGTGCTGTCTTCTTCAAGGACCTCAGGAACGATCAGGCAACTTGGGGGCAGTGTCTGCACTCTATTCTACGCCAGGGTCGGTGTCCTCATGATCTGAGCCCCATAGGCTTTTGAGCCTCCATCGTGGTCAGAGTGCATGCCACTCCAGTGTCCTTGGCTAAACACTGATCCGCCCTGTCGTCCTGTCGCGCTTGGCTAGAGGGACCTCTCCTAGTGCCCACAGGCTCCTAGATGTGTGGAGATGGCTTGGCCAGATGCACTTACCTGCAGTTTCTCCTCTTTCGTGTCTTGGTGCCTTAAGAAATACCTTTGTTGGAGTAGTTGTGGGAGGGCTGACCAGGGCTACTTCCATTCACTCTGACATCTGTGGGATAATTGGATTCATTCGTTTGAGAAGATAATGTTTTTTAATGTGCAACTGTACAATGACTTTTCCATTATTTTCTGTGTGTGTGTGTGTGTGTGTGTATAGAGAGAGAGAGAGGCAGTGGGGCTTGCATGGAGCCTGGCCTCAGAGTCAGGAAGGCCTGAGTTCAAGTCATGCCTTTGACACTTTTTGGCTGTGTCACCCAGGGCAGGTCACTGTGTAAGACTCAAGGCTGCTGAGTTTCCTACACCAATAAAAGCATAGCTCTGCCCCTGTCATTTCATACACACACGTATATATACATACATACATATACACAATGCACATGTACACATATGCATACACACAGACATGGGTATGAGGCAGATGTACGTATCTATACCATGTATATTTATATGTATTGTACATCACTACAGTATGTGTATGTACATATACATATACACACATACACATATAGACATGCGTACACGTATACACAGACACATATACGTGTGGTGCTCTGATACTTGTGCTCTTTACAGTTGCTTGTAAAAAATACACACACACACACACATGCATGCACACAGAGCTGTGAATTGGTATAGTCATTCTGGAAAGCAATTTTGAACCAGGCCCAAGGATTCACTAAACTGTTTATATGCCCTTTGACCCTGCAAAGAGAACAAAAAAAGAAGAAAAAGACCTATATATGGAAAATTATTCATAGATGCCTTTTTTTTAATGACAAAGAATTGGGAAGTAAGGGGATGCCCATGAATTGGAGAATGGCTGAACAAATTGTGGGATGATGAAAGGGACAGTTTCAGAGAAACCTGGGAAGGTTTCTTTTCCCTGATGCAAAGTGAAGGGATCAAAACCAGAAGAATGACACTGGAGAGACAAACAGCTCTGAAAGATGGAGAACTCTGATCAGTGCAGTATCTAGGAACGTGCTCCATGCTATAGATAGAGAGGGGATAGATTCAAGGTACAGAACGTGACATCCATTTTTGGGACGTGGCCAATATGGGGACTTGTTTTGCTTGACTATCCATAGCTGTTACACAGCTTTTGTTTTTCTTTTTCAGAAGGCAGAGGAAGGGAGATTGTTAGGGAGAGAAAGAAATACTTGTTAATTGAAAAATAAATAAATAAAAGATAAACTGACGAGAATGCCATTAGCACAGAAGTGCGAGTAAATTCATAAGAATTCTGTTTGCAATTCTGCTCTGAAGGATAATCCTGTGTTTCTGTGCTATTGGTATAGGTATCAGGGGGTTTAAATTCACACACTTTAGCCGACAGACAAGCACCAATGACTGTGAAGGCTTAAGGAAGGATTAGTTCAAACAAACAGCTTATTGGAGTTGACATTTTTGGGATCTGAACAAGGCCCTTGTGAATTTGCTAGTTGACTTTCCCTGCTCTATATTAACAGTACTTGGTCTTTAGCTTTATGAAATACGCATGTATAAATAAGCATGCTTATTTAGATAAATAAGTATTTATAGAACACTTAGCAGAAAAGAATGCTAAAATAGAAATGAGATTTTGTCTAATTGTGCTCACTAGAGTTGTGGTACTTTGCATGTGATACTCAGTGTTCTTTAATGACAGAAAGGAAGATTTTTTAAAAGGCTTTTTAATTATTTCACTAATGATTCTTACAGCCGGTGTTCAAGACTTTACCGGGGCTGAAGATAGCACGGCTGGAGCTGGGAGGAGCACTGAACACCCCCCAGGAGAAGATTTTTGTGGCTACGGGCTCAGAAATCAGAGGTTTCACGAAGAGGGGGAAGCAGTTCCTTTCATTTGAAACTAACCTCACAGAAAGCATCAAAGCCATGTATGTTGATTATTTGATTTTTTTTCAAACATACTAGGTCTTCTGCAGGCTGAGGAGTTTTTCACCAAGCCTTATGTCTGAATAGATTATGGTGCTTGGGGACAGCTTCAAGGTCTGCCTTCCCCTGGGGCACAGTGTGGAGGCCAAATACACTCCCTGAAAGATCTGATCCTTAGTGCAGATTCTTAAAATCTGGCCACTTGTATTGGCGTCACAAATATGGCAGACTCTCTAGGAATCTCACCCATCCCAACAGTGTTTTAATAAACACACTACTTGGACTGAAAGGAGGCTCGAATGGTCGGATTCTTTCAAGACAGACCCACACCCTTTTACTCTTGCGTTTTGGGGTTTCTGGTACCCCAACCTGCAACATTATGGTTCACTGACCAGGAAACTGCCTAATCTCAAACCGTTCTCCAGCCAAAACTGATTTTAGCAGAGTTATCTACGAATCTCTACAAATGACTTGGAACCAGAGAAGCAGAGTACCTCTTTCAGAGCTTACCCTGAGAATGAGGTTTATTCCAGAATGTTTTAGAGAAGATATTTCTAAGTTCTAGACAGCTATATGGGACACTGGGGACTCGAGACAATCTATGCTGATTAAATGGACATTGGGAGTGGGTTACTAGGATACGAGGAGGCTTGGTGTTATTTAATTATGGTGATCATCATTGTGTTGCTTTGGCCTTTGGTTTCCTAAGAATTTATGTTTTCTGAGTTAAATCTCCCCTCTCAAAATTAGACCACTGTGAGCCCTCTAAGTAGTTTGATCTGTAGTTTACCTAGTGAGTTTATTTAACAAGGTATTTATGTCACCATTATTGTACTTAGGCTTTGTATTAGCTGTTGTACTAACTCCATGAGAGATGAGAGGATTCTTCCCAGTGGTCTTTTCTTGGTACATAAATTTGGTAGTGAGCATGAACACATTAAAAACCTTATAAATTGGGCTTAGAGATAAGCAATTCATGAGGAGATGTGGCTGGCCCTTCCCACGTGAATTAAAGGATGGAACTGAGAGAATTGTGTGAACCAGACAGTCTCTGTCTGGTAAAACTGGTTCCATTTTGTAACTTAAGTTTCATTTTCCTGTAAGTGCCACCTGTTTGCTTAAAGTGGGGATTGAGTGACATCCTTTTCAATATCCAGAGAAGTCTACTGGCTCACTCTCCCCACTCCCAATTCCCAAAAGTCACTCATCCTCCTCCAAACCTGGAAAAAAACCTTAGTCTTTCCTTCTTTTAGAAATCAGATTAACTAATCCTGTATCCTGGTTATTCTGTTAATTGTTTGCTTTTGATGCATGTATTCTGAGGGGACTTGGTCCTGATTTTTTTTTTTTTTTGCTAGGCAATTGGGGTTAAGTGACTTGCCCAGGGTCAAACAGCTAGTAAGTGTCAAGTATCTGGTCTGAGACTGGATTTGAACTCAAGTCCTCCTGACTCCAGGGCTGGTACTCTATCCACTGCACAACGTAGCTGCCCCTTGGTCCTGATTTGTTACAAAATTGACATATATTTCTTAATAAAATGATATGTTTGGAATCTAAAAAAAGAAAGAAATATCTGATCCTCAGTTTTATGGTTTTGATATGTTGCATTTCCCATGTGTCCCTCTGCCTTCTTTGTAAGAGCTGTGTAGACTTTTTTTTTTAAACAAAGAAGTAGAGTCAAATTAAAAGACAAACACAGACTTTGGTCATTTACACTGGTTTGGTGCCATCTTGCTCTGTATTAACCTTTTGATGCCAATAGAGCCCGGCTTATGAGTAGGTGATCACTCATTTGATGCCATTTCATGAGAGTCAGAGAAGATCTCTTCCATGTTACATCTTATACAAGGCCTGAGGCCTTTGGATTTGTTCCCTGTAAAATATCCAAGTTGAGCTGGGAGGGGTGGTGCACTGAGCCTTCAGTACATAGTGAAAATAAGTCAAACTTTTCCAAAAGCAGGATCTTCATGAGGATGGGGTGCAAGGAAAAAGTAGAAGAGGTTGGTCCCTAAAGGAGATGGGAGGGAGTACCATAGAGAGGTGAAGAAACTGGGGGCCCTCTGGCCACCCTCTTACTCCTTAAACACATAGGTTCCCAAAGTGGGTGCTAGAACAGTTGGGGAAGGCAGTAGTAGCCTTGGGTGCAATTGGGGGCATTGAATAAAAGTAAGGGAGCAGTGTAAGCATAAGGAAAGAATAGAAGATAACAAAATTTGGAAAAACCATTCGTACGTGCTTCATCTGTTGTGTAACAGAGTCAAAGTTGTAGTGATTACATTATTTTCCAAATAAACACACAAAATGCAAGTATTGGCAAGCAAGCCTGTCATACATCATTGGGAAGTCCAGCATGCATTAGCAGGAATATGTACATGTAATGACTTGTTTACAATATGATACTATACAGTTACATGATGCAATATCACATCATCAAAATTTCAATGTAGAAAAACCCCCACAAATTTACAATAAATTATTAAATTTAAGATGTCATTTTTTAAAAAAAATTATATTTTTTTGAAATGCCGCAAATTTCAAAAAAAGCCATTAAAGGATTAAAGAAATTAGATTTGGGGGGGGTCACTGAGTAATTTTTTTTTAAAGGGGGCAGTAGGCCAAATGAGTTTGGGAACCTCTGCATTAGACTGATGCTGAGTACCACTTTAAACTCTTTTCTTGAATTGGTTACAAGGATCTGGCCACAATGTATGGAAAGCTTCAGTAGTCCCATTGTTAGAGTAGGCACAATTGTAGACCACCCAGAGACAGGCCATTCGGGTGCTTCGTGTTCAAATTGGAATGATATGAGATGCCGACAGACCAGCTAACACTTAGGGACAAAAGGAATTATACTTAGCCTGAGCAGGGAAAGAATATTCAGCATAGATCCAGATCCAGCCACCCATAGGACATCCATCAAGTCTGAAGGCACTGACTCCTTGTGGGCTGGCCTTTTGTGTCCCAGCTCACCAGGATGCTGCCTCAGTGCATTAAAAGGCCTAGTTTCTTTGACCAATCAAGCCTTGGAGATGGTTCTTCTGCCTTTTGGAGAAGGAAAGAATGAACAAAAAAAACTTGCTCAGCCCATAGGACAGTGACTTGAGTAGATATTACTCTTACCACAGTGACCAATTATACTTTACAAATAATTTTTAAAATTCAGAGTTTGCCATCCGAGCTGTTAAGAGTCTCCTCTTAGTGTGCCGTAAGATTTTAGGAAAAACAAATTATTCATAAGATAACTTCGTCTTTAATCGGTCACTTAATTGTTTTCATTAATACACAATTGCATTTCTAGTGTCTCTGCTTTCATTTCTTCCAGTTTAAATTTTTCCAGGAGAATGCTGGAATGGCTTTTCTTCAAGATTCTCATAAAAATTATAGCGACATAAGTTGTATAGTAACATAATACAGAAATTGTAAAAATTGTAGCAACATAAAAATTGTATGTAGCCACATAATACTGAAGAGGTAGAAATCAAGGAGGGAAGTGAAGAAAGGCATTACAGGCCCTCGAGGTCCTAGGATAATCCTAGCGTTTGGTAGGAGTGAGCTACTTTACATTGGTCTCAAAAGAAAGCTGAGTGGTCAGGTTGCTGTTTCGAGAATTGGCTTTTTAATTGCCACCTTGTCTCTTGCTCCCAGGCACATCTCTGGCTCAGACCTCTTCCTCTGTGCCAGCTACATCTATAACCATTACTGTGACTGCAAAGACCAACATTACTACCTGTCGGGGGACAAAATCAACGATGTCATCTGTCTCCCAGTTGAAAAATTGCCTTGTATTGTACCCATCCTGGCCTGTCAGGACAGAGTGCTTCGAGTTTTACAGGTGGGTAACTATTGTTGACTTCCTTCTTTTACATATTTAAGCCATATTCAATTCAAGGGGCATTTAGGAATACAAAGACAAGTTCCTGGACTGGGGGAATAAAACAGATAAGTAAATAATCCTATACTAACATAAAGCAATTTCAGAGAGAGTGGGGAATGAGGAAAGGCCTTATGTAAGATGTGCTATCTGAACTGCCCTTCGAAAGATGCTAAGGATGCTGCAAAGAGAAACTGAGGACATGGGGGACATTGGGGAATGCGAACAAGCAACAGTCCAGTTTGACCACACACAGACACAGACACAGACACGTACATACACACACACACACACACACACACCCCTCCTAATTTAAAATAATAGTAATTACTAAAGAAATTTATCCAAAGATACTTCTATAGAGAATCCTATTCTCTATGTCACTATGTTAGTAACTTAAATGCTACATTGAATTTCTATTTTAAACTGTCTTGTTAGTTTGAGACGATGTGCACGGTGTTTTGGCCATTGTTAGGGAGATGGGGTTTAATGAGCAGTATCCAGTTTTGTTGTATGGAGACTATTCTGATCCCAAATTTCTGGCTATATCAAGGCAAGCATGCTACTCTCCAAGGACTTCCATGACCCTATTCTCCTCTTCTTTTTTTTTTAATTTTGTTATGTTGATTTTTTCCCACTTAATACTATTTTATTTTTCCCAATTACATGTGAAGATAACTTTCAGCATTCGTTTTTATAAGATTTTGAGTTCCAAATTTTTCTCCCTTCCTCCCTTCCCTCCTCCTTCCCAAGACAGCAAGCAATCTGATATAGGTTATGCATGTACAGTCATGTTAAACATATGTCCACATTAGTCATGTTATGAAAGAAGAATCAGAACAAAAGGGAAAAAACATGAGAAAGAAAAAACAAAAAAAAAATGAGTATGCTTCAGTCTGCATTCAGACTCCATAGTTGATTTTCTGCACGTGGATAGCATCATGAGTCTTTTGGACTTGTCTTGGATTGTATTGCTGAGAAGAGCTAAGTCTGTCATAATTGATCATCACACAATGTGACTGTTACAGTGTACAACGTTCTCCTGGTTCTGCTCACTTCACTCAGCATCAGTCCATACGAGTCTTTCCAGGTTTTTCTGAATTCTGCTTGCTCATCATTTCTTATGGAACAACAGTATTCCATTACATTCATGTACCACAACTTGTTCAGCCATTCCCCAATTGATGGGCATCCTTCTCATTCTTTGCTACCACAACACGCTATGCTCTTCTACTTCTGTGAGGCAGTCGGGGGTTAAATGACTTGCCTAGGGTCACACAGTAGTAAGTATCGTGTGTTTGAGGCTAGATTTGAACTCAGGTCCTCCTGACTCCAGGGCTGGTGTTCTATCCGTTGTGCCACCTGGCTGCCCCTCTTCTTCTACTTCTTAAAGTCCAAGGAAGAAGACTCATGAGAGGAATCAGGATACATGGTTGGGGTGGATGTAGGGAGAATCATGGACAGCTCGGTGGCACAGTAAATAGAGTGCTGGGCTTGGAATCGGGGAGACTCGTCCCAATGAGTTCGAATCCTGCCTTAGACGTTTTCTAGCTGTATAAGAAAACCCCAAGTGCAGTCATGAAAAGTCAAACACGACCGGAATGACTGAACAGCAGCAAAGGGAGAATCATGTCCTTAGCTTAGATCACCCTGAGTCCAAGCCAGTGATTTATGTCAGTGATAACTTTACAATTAAGCAAATTAAAAATAAAATATTTCAAGCAGGAAAAAACATCCATGAACGTTATTTTAAACATTAATCTGTCCATTTTCCCAATAAGCCCTTTGAGGGGGAGGCCATGTCTGCTGAATTTGGCCGCTCCCTGTCTCCCAGTGAGCCCAGGGCTCTGCCCGCAAGTGAGACTTCACAGGTTTGTTGTACAGTGGTGGGGTTCCCCGCTTCCCCTCCCCTGCTCTCCTGCCCTTCCTCCTTCTCTTCCCGTAGTTTTCTGGCTCAGACTCCTTTTCAGTCTTGGCAGAACCAAGGGTGTCTTGGTGCCAGCATGTATAGGCCAGTGAGAGCCCATTGTTCAATTTTCATCATGAGCAATTAAACCTTGGAAACTGATAAATGCTACAAATCAGGGCTTGATTTGTTATTTCGTTGATTGTCTAGACTTAAGAAAATGATGAAGGAAAATGTTAACAATGCAGATTAACCTCGGGTACATGTGTCATGGGTACATTCCCTGCCCCCCCACCCCTCAAACCAGTCATTAAACATTTACTAGCACTCCCCTGGGTAAAACTCATGCAGAATACCATATTTGAATACTTACAATGGTAGGTATGCGTGCTCTTATTTCAAAGACATGATTTTGAGTTCCATTATTTTTCATTGTTTTCCTGTTGTGTTTTTCTGCAGGGGTCTGATATGATGTATGAAGTGGAAGTCCCTGGCCCCCCCACAGTCCTTGCCTTACACAATGGGAATGGTGGTAAATAGATGGCCTTTTGGTTCTCAAGTAGAAGAGCATGTTAAGTTGTTTATAGCCTAGGTTAAAGGTTCTGATCAACACTACATAAGTTTTATGTTTGTGATATTCTTTTACAGTATTTTTTTAAGTTAAATGATGAATTTATTATATATTTTAAAAGAGAAGCCGTCTGTACATTATAGAAATTTGTGGTTTCATGCATAATTCTCTTCTGTTCTGCTGTTCCATGTATATGTGGAAATGACCATTTTATTTGATATTTGTAAGTTCAGAAGAAAAACAATTAAAAAAAAAACAAACAATAACGGGGAATCAGAAAAACCTTTAGCATCCCTAGTAAACAGCACACAGAATCAGCTCAGACTTCACAGTATGTTTTTAAAGAAATAAATAAGGGGCAGCTAGGTGGTGCAGTGATAGAGCATTGACCCTGAAGTTGGGGGACCTGAATTCAAATCTGGCCTCAGACCAAACACTTGACACTTACTAGCTGTGTGACCCTAGGCAAGTCACTTAACCCCCATTGCCTCACCAAAAAAAAAAAAAAAAAAAAGAAATAAGCTTTATGGGGCTGTCTATGGAGACCTGGGTTCTAGTCCTGCCCCCTGCTGTGCCACAGAATCATTGCAATATCTCTCAGGGGTCATGTTCCTCACCTATTGAAATGAAGGGGTTGAAATAATCTCTTAAGGTCTTTTTACAAGTCAAAACTCCAGTAATTTTATGACCACCCCTAAAAGACATGTTCGTATTAGCTCTTTTTTTCTTTAATACGTATTTTGTAGTTTCAGTGAATGGTGAGTGTATATAGTTACTGGAAGCCTGACTTTTGTACCTACAAAGGATAGTTCTATAAGTATTTTTTCAAACTAAAAGAACCCATAAAACATAACCCTATTATAATATCATTTGTATTACAAAGGTCAAATTCTATAGCTTAAAATATTCCTATTCATTCAATCAGCAAACATTGATTACCCACTGTATGCAGAGAATTGTACTAGTGTGGGCAGAGAGACAGAGCTTAGAGGAGACATTGTCTCCACTTCCATGGATCATGACTGGGAGAGTAAAATGCAAGCACAGATCATTGCACTATCAGCTGGTACAATGATGTGAGATGCCCTGGTTGACTGGAACGTAGAGCGTGTGCATGGAGTAGAGTCATGTGTGAAAAGTCTGGGAAGGAAGGCTGCAGCCAGATTGTGAAGGACTTTACACCCCAAGTAGAGTAGTGTCTCTCCTGCCGGCCACGTGGAGAAGCCTGGGGTGGGGGTGGGGGTGGGGGTGGGGGCGGGGCCAGCCAAATGGCCTGACTCTGCTTTAGGTGTGAGCTGTGGATTGGAGAAGGGAGAGCCTGGAGGCAAGGAGGCCAGCTAGGAGGTCATCATGGTGGTTGAGGTAAAAGGCATTGTGGGTCTGAACTAGGGAAGTGGCCAGTACCAAGAGGCTGTGAGTACCTTGGCAATGGGGACCGTGTCTTCTGTGTACCCGTAGGACCTAGCGCAGTGCCTGGGGTATGGTAAGTCATAGGTGAAGGCTTGCTGCTATCCATGGATAGCCAGAAGGGGAGTGTTTGACTCCCAACATCAGCCTTTTTCAGACTCATTTACAATTTAGGTAGCTTAAAAACTTAGTGATTGCTGTGGTGTTTGGAGGCTTATGGGATTCCTGTAGTTTTTTCTGTTTATCAGGATAAGAACTTTAGGGAAACTCAGAGCCCATGGTACTGTAACTATAGCAAGACAATGATCTGCTGATGAAGAGATTGTTATTTTATTTTCTCCATTTTCTCTTGTTTATGGGCCCAAATTTCCTAATTCCCAATAACACGTAATTTGGTTAAAAGCCGAAAAGTGTTCGTTGCTGGTTGCAGCCCATTTGGGCATCTGACGGTGCAGCTAATTAACACTTCAGAAGAAGATTCTCTGTATGACCACTGCAGACACCCGGAGATTTATGGGAACAAAAGGGCATTTCTTTCATAACCATTGCCCCAGTTATCATAAAGTACCACATAACTTTAAATATGATGTCCTTTTAAAATTTAAGTTTATGTTCTGGTAAATATGGTAGTTGGTGTGTTCCACCTTTAATACTGACTGGTTGTGGGCACCTTTGAAAGGTGAATCTACAAAGTTATCAATCAGATCATGTATCTGTATGGTTACAGATGCAGAGAGTGAGCTTTTGTGAATGGAGGGAGTTCTCGCACTGAGGAGGAAATCATTCTTTGTAGTATTGGCATAAATACAGGGTGTCCCAAAAGTCCAAGGGCTGTTCTAATCAATTAAAGCTTCAATATTAATTACATTAATATTGAATTACTTAATTAAAGTTTAAATAATTTTATTTAAAAAGCTTTAATATTAAATAAATTAATTTCATATTAAAGCTTTGGTAGTTTAAAATGGCATCAAACGCTTTTGGGGCACCAAAGCATTTTTAAAGATCTGGCATTTAAAAGAGTCAAGGAAGAGCTTGGAGCTTGGAGATGGAGAGATTTGAATTCTAGTCCCAGCCATTTGCAAGGTCACCTCTCCAGATCCCTTAAGACAATGGGGCCAGACCTGAATGTTTCTGAGGTCTTTTCTAGGCCTAACATTCAATAAACATGCATCCAGAAACTCATTCAAATTGTTTTTCATTGCATAGGATTTAAGTTTTTCCCCATCAAACTGTTAGGAAAATAATTTGTTTCTTAAAGGTTCTGTTGTAAATGGGAGAAACATTCACCTCACCTTGATTCCCTAGGTGAATCTGGAGAGGATCTTCTGTTTGGAACCTCCGATGGAAAACTTGGGATTATTCAGATTGCCACGTCCAACCCAGCACATAAATGGGAATTAAGAAATGAGAAGAAGAGAGGAGGTCTGTCGTTTGTCGTTATTTGGGGACTCCAACTCTCCAGTGGGATTTGTATTAAATCTGTAGCCATAATTTGATGGGGACAATAATTCTTGCCTTACCCCTCAGGGTGGTCATAATGGTCAAAAGCAAATGAACATAAAATGCTTTGTGATTGAATATAATGGGATGTAAGTGAGTTGTTAGTATTATTTCATCCATTCACTTTTCAAGGATGACTAACTTAAAAGAGTCTTCATTTCCTTTTCTCCGTGGCCTCCTTGAATTGCTGTGTTTATTGGGACTGATCCTTTCTAATTCTGTATATAAGAATGTTTTTCAGAAGGAATCATTCCATCTTAAAGTCAAGACTTTTCCTTTTTTGTTTCAGTCCTCTGATATTCTCTTCCTTTTTATTTCTTCAGTTTTAAGGTCTATATTTATCATTATTATGGGATGCAAAAAAGAAATACTTAATGTGCTTTTCCTTTCTATATAAAACAAGTTAATTGTTGTTTAAAATATGATACTTTGATTTGTAAAATCATCTTTAATCAGTTTGAGCCCTAGATTTAGCCCTGTGGCCGATGTGGGTAGGATGGCCACGAAGTAAAATAATTTTCCAGCCCAAGATAACTTAGGAGGTTGGCAGGAAAGGTCTGTCTTACCAGAGTGATGGCTGGGCCTGGAGCAGGCTGTGCCCCAGAAAGTCAGTAGCAGGCCTTGGAGGCGGCAGCTTCAGGAGCTCTCAGTCCACAGATGCCAAGGGAGTCAAACAGCTGGTCAGAAGGAGATAACAGGGGACCCTTTGCTGGCACTGGGTGCAGGACTCTGTTGTATTGCCGATATATGGTTCTGGATTGCATTCCCAGGATGAGAAGGAGCATGTGCGCTAAGGCTTATGGCTGTAGGACCCTAATCACAGTTCCAGGGTGGAGGAGAATGCTTGCAGCTGCCCACAGGAGAGCAGGAGCCCGAGCTTCAGATCCCAGGCAGAGAGGAGCACCGACACTTGTGGCCTCAGGAAAGCGGGAGCCCAGGTCACAATTCCAAGGTCATAAGGAGCAAAAGCATTTATGGCCATCGGGGAGCAGGGGCCCTGGTCACAGTTGTAGGGCAGAGAAGAATGTTTGTAGTGTCTTATAGACCAGTTGAGCCAGGACCATACCTTTCCTTAGATCAGGCCTGCACAACATTCGGCCCATGGACTGCTTGCAGCCTGCAAAGGGATTTCAGGTGGCCAGCGAAAAATACAGAGGATATAAAACAGGCCTGCACAACGTACCGGCCTGCGGGCCATATGTTGTACAGGCCTGCCTTAGATCATTCCACCTTGGAAAAATGAAAATTTATAGCCCCCCCCCCCCCCCCCCAGTCCCGTGAAAACAGCAGCATGAAAACCCTGAAGCTCGAGACAGTGCCCCCTTCACCCTGGGAACAGAGCCCAACTTTAACATAAAGTTCAAAGTCAAGAAATAGGCTGGAAAAATGAGCAAACAACAACAAAAAGAACCTGCCCATAGAAAGTTACTGTGATGACAGGAAGATTAAGACACAAACTCAGAAGAAGACAACAGTTAAAACAGCTACACGCAAAACTTTAAAGAAAAATATGAATTGGTTTCAGGCCCAAAAAAAGAATTCCTAGAATAACTTTAAAAAGATTTTTAAAAATCAGATAAAAGAGGTAGAAGAAAAATTGGGAAAAGAAATGAAAACGATGCAAGAAAATGATGAAAAAAGAGTCAACAGATTGGTAAATGAGACACACCAAAAAAATACTGAAGAAAACAAACACCTTAAAAAAACAGAATTGGCCAAATGGAAAAGGAGGCACAAAAGCTCACTGAAGAATTCTTTAAAAATTAGAGTTGGACATGTGGAAGCTAATATCCCCTTGAGATATCAAGAAACAATAAAACAAAAATCAAAACAATGAAAAAATAGGAGAAAATGTGAAATATCTTATTATCTTATTGGAAAAATATCTGACCTGGAAAATAGATTGAGGAAAGACAATTTAAGAACTGTTGGATTCCCTGAAATTCTCTCCTCCTCTCTCCCCATCCCTCTACAAGCCTCCTCTGCCCTCTCATTCTGCAAGGTAGTCAAGAACCCCCTACATTTGGTAACAAAGTCCCCTCGATCCTTACCCTCTTCCCTTTACAGTCTTGATGTCTTCCTAGCATTACAGACATCTCTGACTCCCTCAAAAGACACTGTCCTTAACCACATTCTGCGGGAGTAATAATACTCATTGACACCATTTATGGAGAGCTTTATATGTCTCAGGCAAGTATTGCTGTTACCCTCATTTTTTAGGACTGAGTACACCTTCTTCCTGAGGCCGTGGGCCAGACAGTGGAGGAGTGGCATCGTGGCAGCTTCCAGACTGTCCCTTGGCTACTTTGGGGGTCACCTACTCTGTCTTTACCACCCAGCCCAGTCCTCTCCACGGGTCATTCTTGATCTTTTATGAAGCTCAGTCCCTGTATCACAGCTGTTTTCTCCATTCCCACCCTCATACTTGGGGACTTCATATATATGGTGATATCTCCCTAAACACCCACATCTACTTACTTCATCAACTTCCTTAACTCCCATAAGCTCCACCGTCATTCTGCTTCATCCTCACAGAGTGATGGTCGTATCCTCGATCTGCCTGGGCCCCGAGGGCTATTCGGATCCTGAACCTTGTCCAGAATTCTGCAATTTCCATCTCTGATCATAATCTCCTAGCCCTCTGTCTCTTCACAAACCTCACTGTAACATCCCATCATAGCCCAGTGGCACAGTGGATGGAGCAGGTCCTGGAATCAGTAAGACCTGAGTTAAATTTGGCCTCAGACACTAGCTGGGTGACCCTGGGCTAGTCAACTTCTGCCTCAGTTTCCTCAACTGTAAATGAAGATAATAATAGCGCCTACTTCCCGAGGTTATTCTGAGGATCAAATAAGACATTTGTAAAATGCTTAGGACAGTGCCTGGCATGTAATTGGTGCTTAATAAGTGCCTATTTCCTTCCTTCTTTCCTTTCTTCCCATCCTGCCACCCTTCTCTATTCATCAAAAGCATTCATATTGCTCAATATTTTAGCACTTTACATTATGGTGGTCATTGTGTAAATGATTCTACTTCTTACTTCACTCTGAGTCACTCAAATCCAATGGACATTCAAGTCAAGACTTCCCCCTTAATATTTTAGGGGCATGTGTCTAGTGGTAGTATTGCTGATTCAGAGAGTACAGGTTAGCCAACCCACAGTTCCACCAACAATGCATTAATGTTCCTGTACTCCCAGAGCCCTCCAACAATTGTCATTTTCATTTTTTGTCATCTTCACCACTCTGCTGAGCCTAAGGTAGAATCTCAATTGTTTTCACGTGCATCCAATAGTAATAATAGCATTTATATACACTTTAAGGTTTGCAAGTTCCATATATTATCTCTCTTGATCAACACAACAACCCTTTGAGATGGGTGCTATTTTGAGATGGGTACCCATTTTATAGATGAAACTGAGGCTCTGTGAGTGCCACTTGCCTAGAGTCAGAAAGCTAATAAATATCTGAGTTAGGATTCAGACTCAGGTCTTCCAGTCTCTAAGTCTGGCACTCTCTCCATCAGACCCCTAGTGCCTTGAAATTTTCTTGTTATCAGTCATTTGGAGCATTTTTATATGGTTATTGATAGTTTGTCTTTGTATTTTGAGAGAACTGCCTGTTCACATCCTTTGCTTATTTATCAATTGAGGAATGACTCGTTTTTATGTTTGAATCGGTTCCCTGTACATTTTGGTTACTGGTACTTTTGCAAAGGAATTTGATGCAAAGATTATTTCCTCCCAGTTAACTTTCCCTTTCTCTTTCTAACTGCGTTGATTTTGTTTGATGATTTTTTTTTCACTTTTATGCAATCAAAATTATCCATTGTGTCTCCCAAGATCTCCTCTGTCCTTTATATAGTTAAGAACTTTCCCCCTGTCCAATTATAAAATGCATCCCCTTTTCTGATCCTCTTAATTTGTGAATCATGTGACTGGTATGTGTGAGGCACTTCCCATGCTATGGTCTGTGCCTGATGTCCAGCAGACTCCTTTTTAACTTCCTCAGCAGGCTGTCACCCATAGGTGGAGTCTTTCTCCCAGCCTCCACCGCTGCAGCCCACTTCCCAGAGCTGGCTCTGACTTCCCGCTTCCTCCCGGCTCTCTGGTCTGGATGGAGGTGCTTCCTTGACCATGGCTCCACTGGGGGCCCTTTTTGCATGTTTGCAAGAGTTTGTTCAGGAAAGCTGTGCTTCTTTGGGACCATTCACACCACTGCCTAGCAGTAGACCCTCTGGGCCAGAGGGCATGGACATCTTAGCCACTTTCTTACTGAAAGTGCATATTGAAATGACCTTGTATTGCTTGTGTTTATTTTTCTGGACTTGTATGTCATCTCTTCCAGTTTCATGTGGGTTTCTTGAGGGCAGGAATGGTTTCATTTTTTTTATTTTTCTGGCAAGGCAATTGGGGTTAAGTGACTTGTCCAGGGTCACACAGCTAGTAAGTGTCAAGTATCTGGTCTGAGACTGGATTTGAACTCAGGTCCTCCTGACTCCAGGGCCGGTGCTCTATCCGCTGCACCACCTAGCTGCCCTGACGGTTTCATTTTGATCTTTGTACCTTCATCCCTTTGCTAAATAAGTAAATGAGGGAACGAACGAATGAATGAATGAATGAATGAATGAATGAATGAATGAATGAATGAATGAAAGAAATAGGTGCTTTAATAAATGTTTGGTGGATTTAAGATGACGGTGATGACAGCACCAGCTAGCAGTTCCATCATGCTTTGAGGTTTACAAAGTTTTTAATGTACTTTTTTTCTCATTTGATTCTTACAATAATTCTGTGAAGTGGGTGCTTCAGATAATATCAGCACCATTATAGAGATGAGGAAACTGAGGTAGCCTAGAGATGTTAAGTCCCCTAGATGGGAAGTGTTGTTGGTGGGATTTGCACCCAGACCTATCCTGACTTCAAGTCCAGTGTTTTTTTCCTACTACACCATATTGCTTTTCAGTAAGATCCTGAGTAGAATAGATTAGATAAAAATTGCCATCAGTGAAGTTATTATTTAATCTCAAACTGAAGAGAGTAAGGTTTAAATGTTAAACGTTTGTTATGTGAATCCCAGTTCTGTTTCCTTTCTTATATTTTGGGAATCATTAACTTGCATCTTGCCTCTTTCCTCCTTGTGGATTGTACTGAAATCCAAACAGTCCCTGCCATCAAAGTCAAACTAAAAGTTCATTGATAAATAAAATGCCAACAGTTTTTTTTTTCATAGAAACAAAATAAATAGTAGTTTTTCAGGTTAGCTTTATTTAACCTCAAGTTTAATCGGAGTCACAGGGAGTCCTTGAGATGAGGGATACACTTAATGAGATTAGAGTACTACCATTTTGGCTACTTTGTGATTTAAATGGTATTTATAGGCCAAGCCTTGTTCATGACATTGTTTCTAGGAGGGCAAAGTGTGTTCTGCAAGCCACAGAAGGAAGAGTGGCTGGGGCCGGGGGCAGGGGGTGGGGTGGGGGGGTGGGGCGTGTTTAATGTCAGACCCACGTGCATGTGGAGCCCTGGTGCTGGCACAAGGGACTCTCAATACTTTGGTTTCCCACAGAGAACTAATCCCTGACACACTCACGGTTAAACCTTGATTCCCACCTCAGAGTACGAAGCGCTGCCTTGAATTCAAACCTCATTACAAGCGTTCGCCTGCAGTCATGCTGTGTGTCTTTTTCTTTCTTAAATAAAGGCGTTCTGTGTGTTGACTATTTTGATATCGTGGGAGATGGCGTTAAAGACCTGCTTGTCGGCCGAGATGATGGAATGGTGGAAGTGTATGGTTTTGATGCTGCCGGTGAGCCTGTGCTCCGGTTTGACCAGGTGAATCTTACTGTTGGTAGCACTTTTCCTGCATTGAAGAAGTGGAATAATAATGATGATGATGATAGCTAACACTTGTATAGTGGCTTAAGGTTTGCTTGCAGAGTGCTTTACATGTTATTTCATTTGATTCTCACAACAAACTTGGGAGGCAGGTGCCGTTATCATCATCATCTCCATTTTACAGGTGAGGAAACTGACACAGACGGAGGTTAAGTGACTAACCCAAGGTTACCCAGCTAGCAAATGTCCGAGGCAGGATTTGAACCCAGCTCTTGGCGTGTAGTGGATAGAGTGCTGGGCCTGGAGTCGGGAAGACTCATCTTCTTGAGTTCAGGTCCTTAACTAGCTGTGTGACCCTGGGCAGGTCACTTCACCTTGTTTGCCTCAGTTTCCTCATCTGTAAAATGAGCTGGAGAAGGGAATGGCAAACCACTCCATTATCTCTGCCAAGAAAATCCCAAATGGGCTCATGAAGAGTTGGACCCAACTGAAATTACTGAGCAACAGCGGTAACAACAGCTTCCTCTCTTTGGGTCTGGCTCTTGAGCACTGTACCATCTAGCAGTCCAGAAGTGAGATTCAGTGGGTTTAGTTGATCCAAAAATGTTTAATTTTTATGTTTTGTCTAGATGCATTGTGTTTTATAGTTTAAGACACTATCAGGAAGACCTGAGTTCAAATATGGCCTCAGACGCTTACTAGCTGTGTGACCTTAAGCAAGTCTCTTAACCCTTTTTGCCTCAGTTTCCTCATTTGTAAAATGAGCTGAAGAAGGAAATGGCAAACCACTCTTGTATCTTTGCCAAGAAAACCCCAAATGAGGTCACAGTGAGTCAGACGTGACTGAATAACAACCGAATAACAACTGGGCTTGACTCGGGCCAGTCCCCTAGTAGTTTATTGGAACAAAATGAGATACTTGTAGGTCATTCAAAATTGAACAAAAAGGGATTTACTTAGCCTAAAATAGAAGAAAGATATTTAGTAAGGAAAAGCATCGAGGACGCTTTGAGTTGATTCAGCTGAGTAAAGCTTCTTTGTCTGAGCCACCCTTTACCCACTGTGATCCACCAGCGCCATTGGAGTGCCTGCTGCTTTGTACTTAGGTGATGAGGAAGGCATGTAAAGAGGCTGATCCTTTAGTCCCCTGAGCCAACCAAGTCTTGAGGATGGTTTCATTGCCTTTTAAGGAAAAAAGTAGCCTAACTTGCATGGAGTGGGGAGGGTTAGGATATTGTTCCCACCATTAGGTTATTCTCGTAAAAATTTTGTAAACCGCCCCAAATCTGTAGCTAACATTATATGTAACATGAAGCTATTAGAATCAGGAGGTACAAAATAAGAGTATACTCTTGCACTATTTCTATTTGACATGGTATTAAAATGCTGATAATTACAATAAGGTAGAAAAAAGAAAATTAGAGCAATCAATATAAAAATGAATAAGGTCAAAACATTATTTGCAAGTGACATGATGGCTAGATTAGAAACTAATCAGTCTCAATCAATAAATGAGTTTATCAGGGTTGCATGATAGAAGAAAACCCCATAAGACTTATTTGTGTTCTTTTATCAGCTGACAGAGATGAAGCAGATATGGAAAAGAAATCTTATTTTAATTACAATTATGTCACTTATATGGGATTAAATTAGCTAGACATTGGTGACCTAAATACGGAGAATTGTCAAGCCATAATGTCAAATGAAGGAAGAGCAAAAACATGAGAGAGTCAGTGTCTCTGAATGGGTCAGATCTATAATAGTGACAATGCTTCCTAAAATAATTTATAGTTTTAATGTAATATCGATAAAAATATGAATATATTTATAGTTGAGAAATTAAGTATTAATTTTAGGGGGAAAGCATACTGTGAGCTTGCCCTTTTGTTGTGTATATATATCTATATGTACATATAGATATATATAATAAACTAATGTACGTATATATATGCATATATACTTGGTTTTATTGTTGCTTATAATTGTTTACTTAATTATTTTTAAAGGTGAATTTCAGATTACTTGCCTTTTGAAAAATATTAGAATACAGTTCTCATTAAAACTATCTGAAACTAGTAAAAAATAGAAAAAGAATCCAGTAGAGCACTGGGCAACTTGGTGATGAGTTAGAAGCCTGCCTCCTGAGCAAGTCATATAGGGTCTGTCTCAGTTTCCTGATCTGTGAAATAGGGACAGTAATAGTACCTACTTCACAGGGCTGTTTTGAGGATCAAACAGACAGTGGTTTACAAACCGTAAAATGTTATATAAGTGCTCGTTGTTATTGTTAACCGACTAGAAATACCAGAAACACAAGCACAATGTATAGAAACGATTCATATTTGATGAGCCTGTAGACAAAGATTGGAGGAAAGATTCATAAGCCACTGTTATTGGGAAAATTGGCTAGTATTATGATAAATTGTATTTGTGTTCTCTCTTCATACTGTATATGTGAAATAAATTCCAGCTGGGTCACAGAACCAAATGTAAGAAAATGAATGATAAAAACCATTAGAAGAAAAGAGACCAATATATTTTACCCCCACTGTGGAAAGCAAAGGCATTGAAAACTGTTGTATAAATGGAACAAATCACAGGGGATAAATTAGGCAGTTTTGATCACATAAAAGTGAAAAAGTTCTACTCAAGAAAAAATAATCAAGATTTAAAGAAAGATTTCATGTGGAAAATATAATAGACAAAACCATAACATCTGAAATTTATGAGAAATTAATATAAATATGCAAGGACCACACCAGCTCACCTTTTGATTTAAAAAAAAAAAAGAAAAAATGCTGAAAGGATGTAGTTGATTTATGAAAATGGATACACAGATCCACACATACACTTGAAAATGTGTAGATTGATAAGTAAACGAACAGATTACAGAATAATCAGAGTACTGTTATGGACTATTGTAGGTAGAAATCCATTTTTTAGTGTGAATAATTATACGTGTTTAGTTTAGTACTTAAAACTAAGTGCACAATAGTTTCTTAAAATAAATTTCAAATAGAACACTTATCTTATTAATCCTAGAGTCTATCTTATCATTTGAATCTGAGAATTTACTATGTTCAAGTAAAATAGATTTTTTTTTCTAATTTTGAGATATTTAAAGCTTTTATATTTACATAAGGGCAGCTAGGTGGTACAGTGGATAGAATTCAGGGCCTGGAGTCTGGAAGACTCACCTTCCTGAGTTCAAACTTGGCTTCAGACACTTCCTAGCTATGTGACCCTAGCCAAGTCACTTAACCCTGTTTGTCTCAGTTTCCTCGTCTGTAAAATGAGTTGGAAAAGGAAATGGCAAACCATTCCAGAATCTTAGCCAAGAAAACCCCAAATGGGGTCACAGAGAGTTGGCTGAGACTGAAACACTGAACAACATATATATGTTTATTTGTGTATATATATATAATGTACTATATATATATACATATATATGTATGTCGTTTATGCACAGATTGCACAATTTCATAGTTATACCATTTTGAACACAGGGAGCTATCTCTATATAGTTTAATTTTTGTTTTCAGTGGAGGAAGCCAAGTGGTATAAAGGATTTTTAATGAACTCTTATAATTTAAACAGCAGAACTTTTTCTGAGCCCTTACCAGTCTCGATTTTTTTTTATCACCATGCAAATAGGATCAGCAGTTCTGCCGCTTATGTTAACAAGAAGCCTGATTTTTCAAATGAATGATATCCTGCTTCCTGTATTTCTCATAGGCATTGTCTGAAAGTGTCACGTCCATCCAGGGTGGCTGTGTGGGGAAGGATGGTTATGATGAGATTGTGCTAACCACATATTCAGGTAGAGTAAATGCTTCCAGGCATTTTACCTAGCTGAGTGATTTCTTAAACTTGTCATGACTCTGTTTTCCTTAGTACTACCTTATTTCCAATCACTTTGCCCCTTAGCATTGAAAGCCACTGGGTGGAGACATTCTGGCCCATGGAAACTCTCCAAGGCTGTGCACTGAGTTATAAAGGGATTGACTTGGGGGCATCCATGCCACTGTATATGCTCTTACTCCATACCCAGTAAGCTGAGCTTCTCATGTTAAGGAAGAAAGGCAAATCTTTGGGCTAAGAGACTTCCTCTTGTCTTGTTAATTTTGCATGGGTTTAAGGATTGGCCGGATTGGAGGTTGTGTTTTCTAGTTGGGGGTGGGCGGGGAGGGGGATGGAGTGGTGCGTGGTGGAAGAAGGTCACGTCTTCACGCGTCCCTCTGGATGTCCTTGAGGCAGCATTGTCTTTGGTGTGTAATCAGGGTTCTTTCCTGTAGGCTGGGTCACAGGCCTGACCACAGAGCCTGTCCACAAGGAGAGCGGCCCTGGGGAAGAACTGAAAATAAACCAGGAGATGCAGAACAAGATCGCGTCCTTGCGGTAACGTCTTTGTTGGAGTTCTGGAGTGGATCGCTTGGTTTGCTCACTTTAAAATGCAGGATTGTATGAAAGGGACTGTCTAGCTTATGTTTTAAAATATATCGATTTATTTGGGAGAATGAAAAATTAACAGATAATAATAGTCTTTGGTTTTTAAAGTTTAGTTTGAAGAAAAAACCTTATTCTATGTTGTTTTTTCCTTAAATTTCCCCTGTATGTTTAATTGTGAAGAATGTCTGCATTCCTTCCTAGTCATTGGAAAGGACCAATGGGGACTCCCACTTCCTTCCTTTAAAAGCAGGGAGCATTCAGCCCAAGTCTCCGGGCATCAGTGGGCCATGAGTCCATTGCCTTTGCAGGTCTCTCAGTCAGGCAGCAAGAATGTAGTAAGCACCTGCTAAGTGTGGAGGATACAAAGAAAGGCAAAAGCTGGATCCCTGCCTGAGCCGAGAGCTTCCGTTCTAATGGGGAAGACCATGGAGAAAAGATCAATGGGCTTAGAGTCTGAAGAGCTGAGACTGAGGCCCTGCTTTGTCACTTCTGGTGTCTGGGAGGTTAGATGGGGATTTTTTTAGGTAAGGGAGTTGGATGGTGCAGTGGTTAGAGCGTTGGGCCTGGAGTTAGGAAGATCTGAGTTCAAGTCTCAGACACTCACTAGTTTTTTGATCTTGGGCAAGTCACTTTTTTATCTGTAAAATGGGTAGGAAGGAGATAATAATAGAACCTGCCTTTCAAGGTTGTCATGAGGATCAAATGAGAAAATATTTTTAAGATGCTCTGCAAATCTTAAAGCACTCTATAAATGCAGAGAGTCAGTTTCCCCATCTGTGACATTTGGATAGCACTTGTACATGTGCCTCAGAGACTTGTGACCAAGCGTTTTGTAAACCTTCATGCACTCCGTAAGGGAGAGTTATTATGGCTGAAATCATTTTTGCCCGGGCCTCTGACTTCATCCAGGTAGGGGACTCTTGCCTACTGGTGAGGAAACCCTGTCTCTTCCAATGTAGATCAATTAAGTGCTCTGCCCTAAGCCCAGGAAGCTGCCTGTGGCACTGAGGGGTGAGTTCCAGTCAAGAAGCATTTGTGGGGCGTGTGCTGTGTACCAGGCTCTGTTCTGAGTGATGGACTTCCAGTCACACAGCCAGCTATGCTCTATCCACCCCTCCCCCAGGCCGGCTCTCCATCTGGCTCCCAGCTACCTTACTATTGCCATGACTACGGAGACGAGGAAATGGGGTCTCCCTTTGTCTCTGGTACTACTGGAGTAGCCTGCTCGGTGGTCACTGGGACTGCAGCCACTTTGGGAGAGAGAGAGTGCCTCCCTCTTGGAGCGGCGTCTGCTGTGGTCAGGAAGCAGGAGCTGGGAGAGCTGACGTTTATTTAGCCACAGTGGTTTGCCTAGAGCCCATTTCTGTCTGTCACAAGGGGATAGCAAAAATCCTGGAGCTGACCTGCTCAGACTGTCTGTGGCCCCATTGTCCAGCTCCTCCAGCGGCCATCAGACCCCTTTCTCTTAGTGCCTTCTGGTTACTGCTGCTATTTGAATGGATCTTTAATGCCTGCTTGGAATGGAAGTAACATGAAATAATACAATCAGTTACAAAAGACCAGAAGGCTTGTGTCTCCCTGACCCCATGTGGGTGGGGAAGTTGATTTCTCTTGTGCATCTACACCCAAAACAATCGCCTTTGATTTGGGCTTTCTCGTTTGTTCCTAGCTGATCTTTGAGGCTTCTGAGTGCGTGTGTGTTTCTAGAATCTGAGTGTGCCTGTCGTTCTGTAGGAGCGACTTGGAGCATTTGCAATTTAAGGTGATTCAGGAAAGAGAGAAATACCAGCAATCGGCCCAGTCTAGCATGGTGATGTCAGCAGTGCCGTCCTTCAGTGTGAATGACAAATTCACGTTAAATAAGGATGATGCCAGCTATAGCCTCATATTGGAGGTGCAAACAGCTATTGATAATGTCATGGTCCAGGTGAGTGAACCGCCCATTTCCCTGGCCTCAACTGTGCCAAAACTGTAGGGGGTAGGCTCTTATTCTGTTCCTATTGTATGTGGGGGTTCAGGGGATTTTGAAGGAAGGCAGAAGGTTGGAGGAAATGACGTCGGGGGAGTTAAGTTACAATACTAAGTGAGTCAATGCATTTTAAATTTGATACATTTTTATTGATCTTTTGTTTTTGTGTCACCTGCATTTCCAGTGTATCCATCCTACTCCACTCCCCCAGAGAGTCAGTCCTTATAAGACTTATAACACAGAATAAAATCTAGAAAAAAAAAAAAACCAGTTCAGCAAAACTAACACATCAAGAAAGTCTGCCATTATAGGCAGTATTCTACACTGGTTGCTCTCCACCTCTGCAAAGAAAGGAGGGAGGAGCCTTTTTTGGGGCTAAGCTTGGTCATTATAATTCCACACATTGAAGTTCAGTCATTTTTTGTTGTTAATTTACATTGTTGTCATCTTTGAGCATATCATCTGCCTGGTTCTGCTTGCTTTACTTTGCATCAGTTCATGTAGGTCTTTCCCGTACTTCTCTGGAGGCGTCATATTCAAGTCAGTTTCCATTCCATTCATTCTCCACCACCATTTGGTTAGGCCTTCCCCAGCTGAATGGGCATCTATTCATTCCAAGTGCTTGACTGTCATTAAAAGTGCTGCTATAAATTTTTTGGTCTATAGAGTTAAATACAATTAGTTAATGTTTGTGAATCGAATAACTCACTTTTTAAATGAGTTGTCAAAACTTCAAAAAAGATGTTAAACCAATGAATGTCCAGAGGTCAGATAATAAAACATACCTCTTCCATCATGGCAAAGAGATGGGGTATTATTAGGATGGAAAATTGTATATTTTATATATCTTGTCAGATAAGCTCATTGTGTTTGCCTAATTGTCTTCATCATATAGGAGAAGGCAGATTCATTGTGGGGTGGGGGGTGGAGGGTCTGAAATGACTGTGATCTAAAGATAAACAGCTTCATCAATAAAACGTTAAATAAAAAATAATTACCCTGGGAAAGTCATTTAACCCTACTTGCCTCACCAAAAAAATTTTTTTAAATGAGATTAATGTTGCAGCTTACCAATTATCCCATTGACTCGCCAGTTTAGGCAGAAGTAAATGGTTTCATGGGTAGTAGTGTTGGGTCTCTTATGTATCTATCCATCTGTCTGTCTGTCTGTCTATCTGATCTTAGGTCAGGCCCCAAGTTAAAAATGCAGTAAGTAAGAAGGGATGGGGTAGGGGGAGGAGTGCAACAAAAGCACATGGGAGTGTAGTGGAAAGACTACTGGATTTAGAGTCAGACGGCCTGAGTGCCAATCCCAAGGTCCGAGTTAGCTCTCGGTCTCAAGATCCTAAAGACGATTAAAGAAAAAAAAAAAGGAGGAAAAAAGAATAAAGAGAAAAGAAAAAAAAGATAAAAGGAAAAGAAAAAAAAAGCAAAAGGAGGAAAAAGTAAAAAGAAAAGAAAATGGGGCAACTAGGTGACACACTGGATAGAGCACCGGCCCTGGATTTAGGAGGACCTGAGTTCAAATCCGGCCTCAGACACATCACACTTAATAGTTGTGTGACCCTGGGCAAGTCACTCAATGCCGTTACCTAGCCAAAAACAAAACAAAACAAAAAAAAAAAACAACAAAAAAGAAAACAAAAGGAGGAAAAAAGAGTAAGGTGCAGCCAAGGAAGGAAAAGGGAAGAGCATTATGAGGAGATCTCTTATTGCTATCTCTTTAAAGGTCATTTCAAAGCCCAGATTCCTGTTTAGTAATGCTAACATTTTAACTGCCCACTTTAGATGAGAAAATTAGCTTTTCTTTGTCAGTGAGGGCGTAAGAGTTAATTACAGCAATTGGGTGCTATGCACCAGGTTGTCTCCTACTGTTTAATGATCATAGGAGGTCACAGGTTTAGGGCTGGAAGGGACCTGCATTTTACCATTGATTTATGGGCCACCCAATTTTCTGTTTTTTTGACTGGTTCCAGCAGAACTAGGAAAAATTCTGCAATTCTGCCTAGTATGAGTGATGGGGAAGTGTGTGTGTGTGTGTGTGTGTGTGTGGGTGTGTGTGGGTGTGTGGGTGTGTGTGTGTGTTGATGTGTATTAATGCCCACAAATCTTATGAGATGGTGGGTGGTTTGTTGGTTTTAATGAATGCTGAGGCAGCAAAGTAATTGATTATACTCTAAGGTGTGCTTGTCTTTTTCTTAAATTTTAATAATTTTCTAGTAATGTATACCTTCAAACTTAATTTAAGAGCTGAAGCAGAATTGAAAGTCCTTGAGAATATAGTCTTTTTCATATTTAAGAAGTATTTCAGGGGCAGCTAGGTGGTGCAGTGGATAGAGCACCGACCCTGAAGTCAGGAGGACCTGAGTTCAAATCCAGCCTCAGACCAAACACTTGACACTTACTAGCTCTGTGACCCTGGGCAAGTCACTTAACCCCAATTGCCTAAAAAACAAAAAAAAACAAAAACAAAAAAAGAAGTATTTCTGCTCTTCTCCTCCCCCTCCCCCCCACCCCCCTCCCAATTGTTACCTCTAGAGCGATGTTCCAATAGATCTGCTTGATGTGGATAAGAATTCGGCTGTGGTGAGTTTTAGCAGCTCTGATGCGGAGGTGAGTAAAGGCAGAACGTGAAGCGTTCTGGCATCATTTTTGTCTTCCTGCTTGAGGCTTTCTAGATGAAGGCTTTTCAGTGTTGCTAATATTCGGTGAGCTCTCTGACTTTTTGAAATGCAGGGCTTGTGGTGAAGCCAGAATGGCTTTGAGTTTGGGCAGAGATTTCCCACCTTTCTGGTGACTGCTGAGCCTGAGCCCAAGGCCAGTGAGAGCCAGTGGCATGTGGATTTTGTATGAGTGAATTTGTTTTTGTGGATTAGTTTCCTGTGATTAATATTACTCATTCCATTTATACGCAGGTGTAAATGCTGAGAGGAAAAAATGCCAAAATTTCCCTGTTTTCATTTATTAAGGGATTTTATTTTAGGAAAAATTACAGATATATAATTTTCATCTTAAAGAGTTTGATTTTTGATTATTCATAATTCGTGAAATGTTTTCTGCTTGTGTGATGGATAGAGTATTAGACTTGGAGGTAGCAAGAGCTGAGTTCAAATCTGGCCTCTGACACTTTATCTGTGTGATCCTGGGCAAGTCACTTGAGCTGTCTCAGCCTCAGTTCCCTCATCTGTAAAATGATGATAATTATAGCATCCACCTATAGAATTGTTGTGAGAATCTAGGGAGATAATAGATGGAAACAACTTAGATATATAAACCTTAGAGAGAGAGATGAATGCGCGTTGTCCTAGTTAATGTCAGAAGAATTTAAATTGTTCTAGGTTGTTCATGAGACTTGTTTAAAGTAATTCAGTACAAATAAACCACATTTATGGAAAATTAGGTCAGAAATCATATCTTCCGTAATTGCTCATTACTGTTCTAAAAGTAAAAGAATGGTCATTGTTGCTCATAGCTTGATTGTAACCAGAATGCTATTAGGATAAATGTCCTCTCTGTGAATTGTTTTCTGTAATATTGATTCATCCTTCTTGTCAACTCTGAATTCCTCACAGGTCAATGAGAACTTCCTCCTGGCCACTTATCGGTGCCAAGCAAACACTACGAGGCTGGAGCTCAAGGTAAAGTGCTGGAAAGGCCGCCTGGAATCCTGCTGCACGTGTTGATTCCTTGAGAATACCGTCAGCTGCCACACTTCTTGTCTGAGTCTTTTATGTCTGTTCTGACTTTTACTTTGGGAGCATTGGTGAACTGCATTTAAAATCAGATGCCTTTATCTTTTTCATTTCCATACACTTAGCCCTCACCTAAACTCCTCCCTGAAAGGGTAATAGTTGTTTGTAACGTTATTTAAAGTGTTGACTTTTTATGTTAGAGGAAATCTTTTCAAGCTTTCTTTTTGTAATTTAATGAGTCATGTTGAATATCATTTTCATAAAACCTTAGCTCAAAACTTATTTCACTGGTTTTATTTGTAAGCTCATCCTAAATTGGTAAAACGATGGTCCTTTTAATGAAGAGTTAATATACTTATGTCAAACCTAACGGCCAAAGAATTATAGTCCATTATTTTTTTTTAATTTTTAATTTTCAGTCTTAGAGTTTAAAAGTCTTGACATGGAATTTAGTAGTTTACCTAAGTGTGTTTTTCTCATGAAGTGTTAAGTGATGTAGTTTACACTTCATTAATAAGTAACTTTTGCCTTCCCTCCCCACCTTGGTTTAGAGAAACATAAAGCCTTGTGGGTCAGGATCTCTCATTTCTTTACAGTAACATTTAGAGCATATCATCACACCGGCTGAAAGCAAGGAGCTAATTTGGGGTGACTTGAAGCACTTCAACTCTGTTGTCTTCAAAGATTCTTTAGTCAGGGCTCACTGTTGTGTCAGTTAAGTCAGGGTCTCTTTATGATGGTGAAGTGGAAAGCACCAGGCTCAAAGTCGGGTGAGCTGGGCTGGGTCCTGGCCCTGCCTTTATCTAGAATTGTGGCCTTGGGAGAAGCGTTCTTGCTCCCTGGGCCTCAGTTTTTCCAATCTGTGAAATGGAGGGAAGTGCACTTTCATACACATCTTTTTTCAGTGTACAGTTAGGGAAATGTTCCATTTAAATTGGTTCCCCCTCCTATAAAAAGATGTTTTTTCTCTCTGTCTTCTTTCTTCAGTTAGTCGTTTGTTTGTTTGTTTATTTTTTGGTGGGGAGAGGAGGCTGTACAGGTATATAGCGATACAAATATACAGTCGTAACTTAGTGTACATTATTGGGCAATTAGGTGTTTCAAGTAAGTGAATATTTTTTCCAATAACTGAAGCTTACGTCTATTGCCAAAGCTTTAAAAAATGTTTACTTTTCAAGAGGCAGCACCATGTAGTATAGTGAGAAGAAAGCTAGTCTTGGAGCCTTGAGACCTGGGTTTGAATTCTGCTTCTGAAACTTAGTAGTTGTGTGAACATAAACCTTAGTTTCTTTATTTCTAAAATGGAGTTAATATCTGTTGTTCCCACTTGATAGGACTCTTTGGAGGGTCAACTGGGGAAAAAATGTATGAAGAACTTTGGAAAACTCAAGTGCTATTTAAATATGCCCTCTTTCCCCTTTGGTTCAGACCTGTGAATTTGTCAGTCCAGGAGTACTCACAGCAGGAAACTGCCTTCCCCAGTGCAGATTGGCCTGTGAATTTATTGGTCTAGGAGCACTCATGGTGAGGAAAGTCCCTTCCCCAGGGCAGATCGGCACCACCTCAGCAGCTGAGAATATGATACAGGTGCCCCGTGCAAGGAAACATGCCTAGGTTCTGACAGCAGAGATGTGCCAAAGGCAAGACTTGAACCCAGATCGTCTTCTGTCAAAGATGGTTCTGTTCAGTATACCTCACAGGCTTTCCCGTCTCCTATTTTGTTATTGATAGAAATCTTTCTGAACTTCTGTGGAATGCATTTCTCATCAATGAGTGAACATTGACCAAGCACCTGCCATGTGCCAGGCACTGGCTAGGACGAGAGCCTTTAGATTCATTTGGCACTGGAGGAGCACGCACAGGGCTAGTAAAAACTGGGGATGTGGAGCATTTTTGATGCCTCAGGGGTTGTTTTTCAAACCACCTACAAGACAGGATTAATCCATCCTGCTGCCCTGGCTTCCTTCAGGACCCAGCTCAGATCCCAGCTTCTGCAAGAGGCCTTTCCCCGGCTGCCCAGTGCCCAAAGGCTCCCCTCTAAGATGAACTCCCATCCACCCCATGGATATCTTCTTTGTACCAAATTATTGGCATGTTGTCTGTCCCTAATATTAGCCTGTGAGCACCTCAAGGTCAGAGGCTATCCTTTGCCTTTCTTTGTATCCCTGGTGCTTAGCACAGTGCCTGGCCACAGTAAATGCCTAACAAATGCTTGTTTGCCTGACTGATGACAGGTAGAATGAAAATCTTTTGATTTGAATTTAGTTTCTTTATTATAGCTTAGTCATTGTATAAAAATCACCCATTTAATGGAATACTCATTTTTCCTTTTGGTTACATGGTACTGCACATACAAAGAATGAGGTCTTACATTCTTGATTATTTGCAGTAAGGATTTTCGTCAGATTTTTCCCCCTCTCTTCCCTTTGTCCTGACTCAGATTCGATCAATTGAAGGTCAGTATGGCACGCTGCAAGCTTATGTAACCCCGAGAATTCAGCCTAAGACCTGCCAGGTTCGTCAGTATCAGATCAAGCCACTTTCGCTTCATCAGAGAACTCACTTCATTGATCATGACAGGTAAGACAAGGGCCGAACACTTTGATTTTACTGTTCACTAGATTTAAGGACATTTCTTTTTGTAACTTAACTGTTCGCGAAGCTCCGGACAGGTTTCTCCTTAGTGGTGTAAGTATGTTTAATCTCTTAGGTTTTGTTTAAGGTGATTCTGCTGATGGGTGAGAGCCTTTGCTCTCCCCTAGTGGGCTCTTGAGATGATCGCTAGCTCGTCTGGGTCTTTCCATCTGAGTCCTCCATTGTATCCAGTCGTAACTTTGAAATAGCTGCCACCCTCAGAAGAGATCATGTGGGGTGCCATCAGCACTGCTCCCAAATCAACAAAACTGTAGGGCATTAGATACTATTAGCAGAATTTCCATTTTCCTTTTTCACCATCCCGAAGGACTGTAGGTGAATTGATTTGCTAGTATGGCCCTTATTGGTACCCAGTTTCCATATGCAGCTTTTGGAACCATTCCCCCTCCAACCTCAATCCCAGGGACATTTTCTTCCTTACACCATGGCTCCTGAATTGGAAGGCTGTCTAGCCCACCCTGTACCTGAACAAGGAATCCCTTCTACAAATATCCCACAAGCCGTCATCTAGCTCTGACTTGGAACCCTTTAATGATGGAGAGCTCACTGGTTTCCAAGGAGGCCCATTGTACTTTTGAAGACGTTTCAGCTTGTACCCCTGATCCAAAGTCCTGTCCTCTGGGGCCGCTGAGCTGGGAGAAGTCGGGTTAAGGACGGATTTCTGGTTGGGAAGGTTGTTAAACCTGGAGAGATACAATTTCCTGAGTGAGAGCTGTTCCTCTGGAAGGCCGGCAAGGGGCTTTCATGACCCGCCCCTCAGCTTCCTTGCAAGCCTGTGATTCCATAACCCTCCATTTGCCCGTCTGTTATTTAGTCTGTGTGAAAGTAGGCTGTTCATGTTGCCGCTGAGTCGGTTCAGTTGGACCCGACTCTTCATGCCCTGAACTCATCTGTAATTTTTGCTGAACAAAAGGACGTTGGACACATTGTCCAACGGGATTGTGTTTGCTAACCATTGGAATGGAGCTGACTCCCGAGTAGCAGCAGGCAGCCTTGCCTTCAGGGCCAGTGAGGTGGCCAGGTGGGCAGAGCACCGGGCCTGCAGTCAGGAAGCCCCAAGTTCAAATGCACTCTGAGACACTTACTGGCTATGTCACCCTGTTGGCCTCAGTCTCCTCATCGGTAAAATGAGCTGGAGAAGGAAAGGGCAAACCACTGCAGTGTCTTTGCCAAGAAAACCCCACTTCGGCCATGGAGAGTTGCACATGGCTGAATGGCTCGCCTGAATCAGCCTCCCATGACAAACATCTGTCGACACCTATGGTGTACCTTACTCTCCTGGGCTCAGGAAACCCCAGACAGCCCAGAAGGGGTGTGGTTCCTGCTGGGGTGGGCAGAGGATGGAGGAACATCCAGAGCTGTAATGCAGAAGCTAGGCAGCGCCGTGGTGCACAGCGTGGGCCTAGAGTCAGGCAGAGCCGAGGTCCAGTGTGGCCTCAGACGCGTTCTAGCCCTGGGACTCGGGCGAGCCTCTGTCTGCCTCAGTTTTCTCAGCCGTAAAATGGGAATAACAATAGACCCTACTTCCCAGAGTTATTGTGAGGATTGCATGAGACCATACCATACATTGGCACGGTGCCTGACCCATGGAAGGTGCTGAATAAATTCTGGTTTCCTTGTTCAGACTGCGTGAGATCCATGGGGGAAAAGCCACAGTGTCCTAGAATTAAGCCTGGAGGGGACCTGAGGGGCTCCCCAGCCCACCAGACACTGCTGCAATCAGGGCCGGCTCCTGGAGGAGGCTACGTTTGAGTTGGCAATAAATAACACTGATGAAGCGTGAAGAACTGAGTTGTCACTAATGGGATGGATGGCATTTACAAGATGGCCAGAGAAGGAGGGAGACGGCCATTCCAGGCACAGCGTGAGCAAAGGCCTAGAGAAGGGAAAGTGCCGAATTTGGCTAACGTGTAAAATGTGTGGAACGTGGCAGCAGAGGGCGAGATTCCTCCTTCTCCTCCTCTTCCGCCTCGCCGGCCTTTATGTGATGCCTTGAGGTTTTCAGAGCACTTAACATTTGTTATCAGGTAGGTGCCATGATTATTCCTCATTTTATAGTTGAGGAAACTGAGAGTGAGAGAGGGGATGTGGTCCCTTGGCCAGTGTCTGTCTCTCAGCCCAGACCTCTCTCCACGTCCCCCCTAGACTTGGTGGACACCTGGAAGCCCCAGCGCCTTTTAGCAGTGACTCATTTGAGACAATGGAGTGCTTCATGTGGAAGACTTTTCTGGTAGGAACAGGAAGAATGGATGAGAAGGGGAGGAGAATCATGGCAGGGAGTCTGGCTGGGGCGGGGGGAGCGTGGTGAAGAGAGAGGGAGCGACCAATCGCAGAAGTACTCGGGGGAGAACGGTCAGGACTGAAGAGCTGATTGGGTCCGAGGAGCATGGGAGAGTTCTCGGGCCTTCGGAGCTGGCTGGTACCAGGGCACCCAGGGCGGGGCTCTCTGCGCCTCAGTGAAGCCTCTCAGAGCCCGCGCTGAGGTTCTGAATGTGGGGGATTGGGCGGGGCCATTGCCAGAAGTAGTCTGTCAAGTCAGGCATTGAGCAGTTCTAGGGAGGATGGCAACAAATCTGGTTTTTGGCATTGCTTGGTGGGACCCCCGGGGAGAGATGGTCCTACAGGCGGCTGGAAATTGTGTTCATGGTCCTAAGGCCAAATAATAGTGTGCTTGTCGAATCGAATTGAAATGTAAGTGACTGAGGGAAGAAATGGAAATGGACCATAGGTGGTATGGGCCTACATGAGAGGAACTCTATGACTCCCTCTTCTGTCATTTCCATGGTCAGATGCTGCTTCCTCACAATGGCTCTTGTAACGATTTGGGTTTCTCTTTTTAAACCGTAGACCCATGAACACGTTGACTCTGACTGGCCAGTTCAGTTTTGCCGAAGTTCACTCCTGGGTCGTGTTTTGCCTGCCTGAGGTTCCAGAGAAAGCTCCAGCAGGAGAGTGTGTGACTTTCTATTTTCAAAATACGTTCCTCGATACACAGCTGGAAAGTACTTACAGGTAAAGAAGTCTACATCCCTGGGCTTGTTTGAAAGCACGTCCTTTGCCTTGAGTGGATGAATGTTTGTTGAGGATTTGCTGTGTTCCAGACCGTGCTGAGGCTGAAATACAAAAGCAGAGACAGCCCCTCCCCTTAAGCAGCTTACATCCAGATGGGGGACCCCTGTAGGGGAGTGTGGCCAGGGTGGGGTCATTACTGGGGGAGGAGATTGGCGGGGCTCATGCTGGAACAATGTCGGCGTTCATTTGATCTTCCTTCTTTAACTATTAGGAGGGAAGAGGGAAGGAGGGAGAAAAGGGCTAGGAGGTTATCTGGGCTGTGGAGGAGATGGTCTGAGTGACCCTGGGAAAGCCTCCTGGAAGAAGTAACTGAGATGGGCCTTAAAGGATTTCTGCTGGCCAAGGTTGGAAGAGGGTGTGCATCCAGGCCCCGGGGGACAGCTTGGGCGAATGCAAGAAGAGAATTCCAGAGCCCTCCCGATCTAACTCTTCTCTGTGGAAGTGCAGCCTTTGCTTGTAGAGGGGGTCCACTTCCCTTAAAGTGGCCTGTTCTGTGAGTGAATGAATGAATGAATGAATGAACAAAGGAATGAATGAATGAGAAGCTTTGATTAAGTGCCCCAGGCCAAGCTCTGAGGATGCTAAAACCAAAGCAAAGACAGTCCTGCCCTCTAGGAGCTTTCGCTCATTCTAGTGAGAGACATGGGAAGGCAGTTGGAGTGTGGAATGTTTCTGAGTGAGTTCTGGGTCACATTGAGAAGCCCTCATTGTTCAATTTAGGTGGGGACAAGTGGAGC